CCTCCTCCTCCTCCTCCTCCTCCTCCTCCTCCTCCTCCTCCTCCTCCTCCTCCTCCTCCTCCTCCTCCTCCTCCTCCTCCTCCTCCTCCTCCTCCTCCTCCTCCTCCTCCTCCTCCTTGTCCATTGGAGTTCTGGGAGGATCCAGCAGTCATGAACCCAGAACCTCTCCCCCCTCATCTTGGTTTCGGCAAGGTGAAAGAACCTGTCAAGAAGCCTGCCCCCCCCAAGAAACCTCTCAACAAATCCAAAGACCTTGTTGTTTTTGATGAGAAACTGGTGTTGGTAAGTCAGTATCCTCATTGTGCCACCTGATAGCTCATGATGGATGGTAGCTTCATTTAGATGACTGGCATCTGCCTGTTGACATCATTGACCTCACCATCAATCACAGTCATGGTAACAGGGATGAACACATATTCAAGGGAGCAACACGCCAGGTTTCTCTGTTAGCTAAGGATGTCCAACAATTCGGAGATACCATTGGCTGGTTGAACAACTGGAACATCAGCAACACAGTTGCACTGTTCCAACAAGGTTGGCCTGCTTCTGACCCCATAGTTCCCACCAAGCCCCCTCCCAACAAGAAGAATGGAGAGGCTTTTAGTTGCAAAGTCTTCTCCTCTTACATGTGGCCTGACTTTGACACATACTTGAGGACAAAGTGGATGGAAAAGCATGTTGCTAAGAAACTCTGCCGAAATGTGTTTGATATGGAAGCATGCTGGGAACATTCAGAGTGGCTATTCCCCCTCCACATGGCAAATCACTGGGTTCTGGGGCATGTGGACTTTGTCAAACACCACATCATTATATATGACTCACTGTGTCACCATTGGAGGTTGGCTGTTACAGTGTGTCCTCATGTTTATCTCACATAGCCAGTACTGATTAGACATGCAGATGATAAAGTGTATGGTGACGGCAATCACTGAGGAATCTTCCCAGGACCAGCCTGGGTGCTTATGGGTAGGCTGGGAAGCACATGCAGCCTTGGTACGTGTGTTCACCCCCCTGGGGCAGAGAACATTGTTAAATATGATCTAGGTCCTGGAACAACAGAATGGCCATGATTGTGGGTTGTGGGTGCTAGCCCAGATAATGGCAGTCATGCAGGGTGTTGACCAGACATCCATGACTGATGCAGAGATGCCACAGTTCTGTCACTGGTTACATGACAACATGGAGAGTTTGTCATATGCACCAGTAGCACCACATGCACCAGCAAAAGAGGAGAGCGTGCTCTTGGACTCAAACGAGACCATGTTAGAGTTGGTGGACTCGGACAAGGCCATGGATCTCAATTAGGTAGTCATATATACATTACTTACAATTACACTTCTTGCTCTAGAGAAGTGGAACACTTTTTTCTGATACATATTATATTTTGTAGTATTAGGAATCAGTACGCTCAGCACCCTCTGCTCTCTCGGCATGACTTTCAGCGCTTGAAGCACCTGTACTGAATAATAGGAGTTCAGGCCCTCTTGCTGACCCATGACCTAAGGGACGGAAGTGTGACATTCCGGCCTGGTTGACCCTACCTCTTGCGAGCCCAGTGTTTGCCTTTCAGGCGCAGCGAGGAGAAATAACAAGCTCCAAGGACCTAAATCCCGGCCCGCCTCTTCGCCCATGTCGACAATGGGAGAGGGTTCACTTTTGGCAATCGAACAAGGCTGAACCTGTTATCTGCGTCACATTGTCTCGGCTTCATGATGGTGACGAGCGCGTCTAGGGGATGACGTCGATTCAGACTTTAGGGTTCGCCATCGGTGTACCCCCACATTTCCTCATGAAAAAGTCCCTTCGGCCTCCACCACAGCATAACCACCTCCTGTGCGGCCAGGAGACCTTGACCGCAAGCTTATCCAGGACGACTATCTCAGAATGAACAACGAAGGTTGGGATGAAGCGCGTGAGTCCCTTCTGGAGACGAACCAGAAGATCATCACTCGCGTAAGGAGTGCCTGGCGAGGCTTCATCGGTGCGTGAAGTCGCAATCGCGGTCGAGCGGTCAGATCCTAAGCGATTGCAGAATTTGCTGCCAGGGATAATGTGCTGGAGGTGGCCGTTGGTTTGATGTGAGTGACAAGGCTGCGATGTTCCAAAAACGCGTCTGAAGTCACCGTAGGCTTGGAGCAGCCTTCACCGGTGTGGTGTCGTCGCTCGTTTCGGACATCATCCTCCCGCCCTTGTCGCTCCTCCCGTTCATGGGAAAGAACCTGGAAGAGAAGTTTCTTGTACTCAAGCACGGTGTGTGTCTTTTCCGTAGAGTATGACGTGATACTGAACAATCACATCAGGACATACAAGCCATATGCGATACGATACCTTGACCCAAGCAGCGGAGGACGGTGCGTATCTGTCTTTCACCCCGTGAGACGCGATGATAACCTCGAGCTCTCAGGTGCCGTTACAATGGCTTGGGGGTACGCGTCTCTCGTTCTCATCCTTTAACGAGCTAACGAGTATACAGCCTGTTTCTAAACAACGTGTTCCACTTCCTAGGACTTGGTCTTTCCCTCTACTTGCTGGCGCAGTTTTACGGTTGGGTATCAAGCGACTCGATCATTAAACACACCGTGCGTTGCTCGTATTGCCGGAAGGAGATCTCGCCCAAAGCGAAGCGCTGCTATCTGTGCACGAGTTGGCTGGATGGAAGGGAAGACTATCCAAGGACGGCTTTGGGCACTTAGACGCGTCAATTGACCGGAAGCGTATGCACGGGTTGATGGGTGGTCATGATGACATTCTGTCCGGTTGCGAAATGGAGGGTATAGTGCATATGAGGTATACCAATGAATGATTTACATGTGTGTCAGAATGTCTGAGAGAGCGTACTGTTGTCTGCGTAAGAGCAGCTTGGTATGTGCACCTGATGATAGTAAGGCAGGTCACAGAACATTTCAACGTCGTGTTCGACATCAAAGAACATATGCGTCGTTGCATATCTGAGCGGTGCGTCACCTGTACGGCATTAGCCGGCTATATGCGCATACATGGCCGTACTCACCCCAACGGTACTTGAAAATCAGCAGCGGATTCCGGTTGACAATGTTCACCCAGGACATCACTTCAGGGGTGCGGAAGCTCGGAATATGTACCACCTCGAAGTTATTCTGGTACGTGAATGGTCGCTGGCTGTCGGGGTACTTCCAGCCATTCTTTTCTAGCTGGGTTTTTATCTCGGGACGACGCGCCACGAATGCTTGAACGAAAGGGAAGAACCCCTCGGTGACAAACTGTGGATCCGTTGCGATTGCCACAAAGCCGTACTTCTTCTTATCCTTGAAAAGTGCCCCGATGGGGTCGTAAGACACTTGATCGACGATGAACGAGTCGGTGTCGAGACGAAGATAGTAGTCGAGATTCCGAATGCGGGGATGCTCGAATATACCAGAGAAGAAGAACTGACACATATGATGATAACCTAGGCATGGTCAATATCTGCCAAACTCAACCTGAGCCACATAACGTACCCGGCCAAACGTCCGGAAATACCGGGTCGACGACATCAATATTACTGCTCACGCCTCTTGGAAGTCTTGGTTCCAGTTCGATAAACTCGATCCCGTTGATCGCCTCCAGCATTTTCAACACAACACCGTGTCCGTCCTTTTCCATTCGTCCCATCAGCAACAGCAACAACTTGTCACGAAACGCGCGCTGGACGTATGCTGGTCGGAAGTAGCCATCATGGAAAAGCACGATGGGATAGGAGCATTGCATTGGAACATTATGCCAGAGTAGAGAAAGCGAGAGGAGGAGATTGCTGACTTGAGACTCCTTCACCAAATAAACAATGGCTGCGGTGTAGGGGCATTGCATGATGGTCTGGGAAATGTCGGCTTCAAGACGGCGCTCTGTATATTTTGTTAGTTTACTGAATAGCGCGAACGATCTTTGAAGGGCGCACCGTACAAAACGGCTTGATCATGTAACCGATCAATATCGTGCCTGGCATGCTCCAGCATGAGACCACCCTGAAGAGGGAACATCTCCTCCGACGGCGTTGCCACATGAACATCTGCTATGCTGAACAACTCGCCAGAGTCCTCGGTCGTAGGGTTGTATGCTTGCGTGAATGATTGATAGATCGCCAGCACTGGTCGGCATTCTTCGGTTAGCGAGAGGTAGGCATGCTCGCTCAGAAAGATGTATTGCGTGAATCCCGACACCAGAAGGACGATGAAGACGCATATCCCGTATCGAGCAATAGATGAAGACAGAGATGCTTGGGTTTGTTGTTGCGAATCCTGCCAGGCCATGGTGCCGACTTGCTGATGGAAAACCCACAAATAGCCTACGGTGAGCGGTAGGCAGAGCCCGGCGACCAGAATATGGAGAGCGAGATTATTTACATCATGACACCACCGACATGCGCGTCTCTTCAGTACGGCTGTAGATGTATTCTATTAGCCTTTAATGAGATGTGGCATGAAGCATGGAGTTGTGTCCCAATGGATGGAACTTGAGCAGTTGTCGACGGGTCGCGGCGGGTTCGTTTCAAATCACGTGATGATACGGTCCGAGACCATGCCGAACGACACAATCTTTCTAATTCGGTTGTGGTCCCTTTTGCTTTGTTTCGGAACGGCAGACTCAGTCACACACCGAATTTGTCTTTCGGAACGCAGAAGGCATGGTATCAGGCACATTCACCATCTAAACATGATATCGTTCGGGTTCAAAGAAGGACGACCGTGCCTTATCACATCAGGTGCTGTCCAACTGACCACATCTTTCCGGAAAACCTCATCCAAAGTTGACCTAGTATTTGTGCAGTCCCTCAAACACTGTCTTTGAACCAAAGCCTCGGAATTCGTCAAGGACACAAATTACGAGCAAAGCACCGTTGAATATAGAGGAAGCTGTACGATAGTCACCATGTCGTGCCTCAGGGACCGTATCAGAAGAACGTCTTCTCACCAGCGCCATTCCAGTTTCCATCCTCTTGGGCTGTCGGAATCCGCTCACAACCAATCCGGCAATCATCCCCGAACTTCCCGAACTGATAGGGCGTTCATTAGGAGCCCACTTGTTTCGGAGTCATCTGATTAGGCCTTGATACAACGGCGAGATTGCATATCTGGCTGGTGCAAGCGGCCGAACGTCGAATAACGTCAATATCGCCCTGTCGTATTGGAGCTTTGCTGGTTGGTAGGCGAGAGTCGGAGAAGCATAGCGGGAAGCAAACAAGATGATAACCAGAAAGAAGCCCGGAAAATCGCAATATCCGACTTCCTTTGGGAGCGGGGATACGCTGCGGACCCTTATCTATGACCGCTACAATGATGGCCATGTGCTTTGCAGATCAAGCGACTCCTTTGACTGCTCTAGGATCGCTCATGGGATACGAACGGGAGGCCTGCCAGCTCAATTTCAATCATGTTGGTTCGATAAGGGGTCATTGAGTGCTTCGGGAAGTCACGCCTTAAATGAAGGTGCTTTGGGTGCTTGGGAGCCAGCGATCTTCTTTCCACCAGTGAAGATTGTCCGCTCAATTGAACGACCATGGCAGATACCGACAACGAGAAGAGGGATCTTGAGAAGACCGCGAGTGTGGATATCGTGGACCAGAGACTTGTCGAACAGTACGAGCATGCGAAGGCACATATGAACACCGACGATGCGGACGATGCCCTCAAGATAGCATCAGAACTGACCGAGATCTCGCCTGAAGAGGAGGCGGCACTCCTTCGAAAGATCGATTGGCATGTCTTGCCCTTGCTCTGCGTGGTTTATGGTCTGGTGCGCGGTGTTGAATGCCTTCCAAGGACGAGAATCTGATCGCCGTGTGTAGCAATACCTCGATAAGACCACTCTGTCATATAGCTCCATTATGGGTATTCAGACATTTGCACATCTTCAAGGCCAACAATACAGCTGGTTAGGATCCATATTCTACTTCGGGTACCTTGTTTGGGAATACCCGACCAATCGCCTTTTGCAGCGTTTGCCCCTCGGAAAATACACTTCGTTTAACATCATGGTGAATCTCTGACTGCTCCCGTTGATACGAGGATACTAAGACCATGTGGATAGGTCTGGGGTGCTATTCTAGCATGCATGGCTGGAACGAAAGATTTTGCTGGCCTCATGGCGGTTCGTTTTTTCCTTGGACTTTTCGAAGCAGTATGTCTCGTTCAGGCAGCTGGTCAATGATAACGTTGCTGACTACTATGCAGTCTGTCGTAAGCGCATAAAACATGCACATGATTCTCAGGCTAAATTGCTGTCAGTCACCTGGATTCGCACTTTTCACCAGTCAATGGGTGCTTTCTATACAGAATGCACCGCGCGCTGCTCTAATTCTTCCTATAGTACAAAGTGGGCGAGCAGGGAGCTCGGACCGGTATCTGGTTCTCCTTCAATGGATTCGCCCAAATATTTGGTGGTGTTGTGGCATGTGAGTACCGTACCGCAGTATTGCAATCTTTACCGATGTTTTGTTAGATGGAATTGGCAAGGCTGACGCTGCCGGTCAACTTTCCATCGCGGGCTGGAAGATCGTTTTCCTTCTAACAGGACTTCTTACCTTCACTCTAGGCGTTATTGCCTGGTTTTTTATGCCCGATTCTCCGTTAACCGCCTATTTCCTGAGCCCCCAAGAACGTGCAATGGCTATTCAGCGCATTCGGCTGAATCAACAAGGTGTTGGGAACAAGCATTTCAAATGGTATCAGGTTAGGGAAGCCTTGACTGATGTAAAGGTTAGTGTGCGATTTGGGTTGAGATATTGAATGCTCAGTCTTCCAGACATGGCTGTTCGTGGCATACAGCTTGATTGCTGATATACCGAATGGTGGTATCTCCAAGTAAGATGGTCACATCAGGCTCTCCCTACGTCTTCACTAACTTTATTGCAGTTACTTCTCCATTCTCATTGAATCTTTCGGCTGTGCGTGAGAGTATCTTCACTGATTCGTACTCTCTGACATGTCTAGTCACATCACTGGAATCGCTACTGTACGGTGCTCCGGGAGGAGCCATCGAAGTCGTCACCCTCATTGGATTCCTTTGGCTCGGCGACAAGTTCAAACTACGCCTTCTGTTCGGCGCTTGCTCAGAAGCTAGTGAGCCAGGTGCTGCGACTGTTCATTCCCATCCTGACTGGCGGCGCAGTTTCCCTTTTGGGTATCTTGCTCGTCTATGCTCTTCCTGATGAGCTGAAAGTGGGAAAATTGATCGGCTACTACTTCACTCAGGCTTCCGCTACCGGTTTCGTGGTCCTTCTCAGTCTCGTGTCCAGCAACGTCGCTGGATACACCAAGAAGACAACCGTCTCCGCCCTGTACCTCATCGCGTACTGTGTCGGCAACCTCATCGGACCCCAAATCTTCCAGACCAAGGACGCACCCCGATACACTCCTGCCTTGATCACAATTGTGGTCTGCTGGATTCTTTGCATCATCCTGCTCCTTGTTATCTGGTTCGTGAATGCTCGCGAGAATCGTCGCCGCGACGCGTTCAGGAAGAGCCCCGAGTATGTTCATGTCCAGAACCAAGAGTTCCTGTGAGTGTCAGGATGTTTCAGAAGAATCGTTGTCTGATTTTGTACAGCGATTTGACCGACGGTGAGAACATGGACTTCAGGTATAGGACATAGGGAAACCAGGTTTCTGTGGGTTGAGGGAGTGGATTTACTATGAATTTATCACCGCTTGATTGAATGACAGTATAATGAGTGGGAATGGTGACCATGCCAAGACACTGTTTTTTCTTGGATAAAGAGTGTGACAAGCCGGATCTTGGCCCAAAGGAGGCATACCGCTGAGGTCGGTGCTGTCTTACCAACGACCGGTGATGGTGATCACCGGGAGATGAAGCTTATGTTCTTCCTGAAGGCCACAGAATAGACACCGAAAAGCCGTGCGCTGGGGAAGTCGCATAAGAGCGTGCCGCGTGGTGGACCTTGATTTGCACTAAACAAATCGATAGTGGTAATGAAGTGATGGAGGTTGTAGTCGTGACCAGTTGATGCTCGCCCTGTCCACACCTCATGCAGTCTGCCCCAAGTCGGTACTGGTGCCAGGGAAGCACACACAGCACAGAAAAATGTCGAGAAGAGGCGCGACGCGCATGTCATTTTCCCCCACCGTCTAGTACATCGCCTGATTTTGGTTTCTGCCTCTCCGTTCTCCCGACAAATTATGTTGAAGCCTCACACCCCACAACAGTCCAATCGCCTCACTCCATTGCAAAACCGAAGGCAGGATCAATGATGCTCGGCTGTCGCGGCATTCTTGGCGAGGTATGGGTTCTTTGGAGAGTTCTTGTACTGCGGAGCTGCATTCGGATCAGCATGAGGTCTAGAATCCCAATCTCGCCCCCGCTCTTCTCCGTATCTCCCTCTATGAAAGATGTCCCAGAGCGGAGAAAGAGCAGAGGCAAGGGGAAAGGCAGAAAGAGACGCACCTTCCAATGCTGCAGCCTGGATCTTGCTAAACAAGGCCCACGAACACACACCAGCGACGGCGAACGGCCACAGGTGGCCCATCTGTATCTTTTGGTCAGACTCCACACTCTGCTCTCTGTCTAAATATCACGTGCGGGTACAGGCCAAGGACGGAAACCGAGGAAACGCATGCTTGGTCGTTGATGGTAGGGAGGAGGTGAATACGATAGCTGGGCAACGGTGCAGAACAGATGCGACGGTGAAGGCCGGAATGAGCGAAAGCACCCGAGGCTGTCGCCACTCTGTTCACTGCCACTAAGCACTGCCACTTATCCTCACTGCCACGGGAAGCCGGAGCCGAAAACTTCAATTCTCCGGAGTCCAGACACTTTCGGAGCCGCTTCGTCCGACAAGCCGAAGACCCGCCGATAACGGCATCCTCGGTCTTCCATTCCAGGCCACATGTATTAATGCCGTCACTAGCGGCTATCGATGCTGAACTTGTAATAATGTAAGCTGTTGCCGGCATTTGGCCGATTGAGCTTTCGGGGGCCGGGGAGGCCAGGAATGGCAGGGGATGCTGAGACGAAGGCGAGTCCCGACGTGACGTTTCGGACCGGGGTTGAACGTTTCTATACCAGGAAAGGATGGTGTGGTCATTTTGGTATGCAGTTCCCACAAGCGCGTTGCGCATGACTGACGGGCGACGTGCATCCCCGTGGATGTTCGACCGGTCCATTCCATCCATCCCGCCCCGCCCCCACTCCCGCGTCATACTTTACCCATCCTACTCCCATCCATGCTTTCATCCGTCGATCTCTAACACCGAACGCTCCCACTATCGGACACCTACTCCCGGGCACACAGCACACAGAGTTTTCGAGTTTCGGATGGGGGAGCAGCAGGTGTTCCAGTTCCGCCCACGAATCGCTGGGTGATCCTATTCTGTAACCCCGGTGTCCCCACGGCTTGGCGGTCGGTATGAAAGGCTATCTCTGTTTCCATCCCTTACTCTTCATCTGTCGCGGATATTGAAGCGGTGAAATATCTAGGCGATTAGAATAGGTGGCGCCTACCCGAATGTAACATGTGTCTTCCGTATTTTCGTGAGAGCCCGAATCGGAGGGACGAGGGGGCGCGCGCGACCAAGGTGTGTGACGATCGAGCCTGGAGGCTGCCTGACCATCCGCCTGTCGTCCGGTTCAGAAACCGGACCCCGCCGAGGGGTGCCCAGCCCTCCCCTTGATCCATTCCGATCGGCGCCAGGATGTCTATTGCAGGGACATTTTGTAAGCAATGAGAGTTAGACGCCGCTACGCCCCTGAGACCCTTCTGCCTAACATGCAGCGCTGGTCAGGTCTTGGAACGGGCTGATGGAGCGCTCGGTCTCTTGATCAGATAATGCCGACGGAAGCTTCAGCTTCCTTGGACGGATTGGGAAAGGTGGTCAGGGAAGTGTGCGACTCAGATTAACGCGAAAAAGGGTAAGCAGTTACGGGTCATCGTCAAGCAGTCAGACACTGGCGGGCCGTTTCATGTGGCCGTTTGGGTTGCAGAGCCAAGGATGGGATTGAGGATTGGAGGGAGAGGGGACGTCATATTTGATGGCTGTGGAAGAAATTAAAGCGAGACATGGGATGGATGACGGGGATGTTTGGCTCCCGAGGAAGAAGTATGCCGCCGGTTCGGGCACGGCGGAGTGCCGCTGGAAGTGTTGTCGAATCGATGAACGGAGCAGATAGATGTGGATGATCTTGTTGCTATATCTGTTCCTTGTGGATACGGTGGTTGTGTTGGAAGAGAAGAGAGTGGATCAAAATCTGGGCGCTGGGAAGGGAAGTGTCTATCGGGTTCCGTGGATCACGCGGGGATGAAAGTCAGGAATCATGTGGAATCTTTCCTGTTATGGCAGTTTGTTCGGAAGGTGTGTGAAATTGGCGTTTGAAAGCGGGCTGCGCGGGTGGGCGAGTTCAAAATGAGACTGTCCCCATCAGGCGCACCCGGCACACGAACTATCCTTTATACTGGGCGCCCCCCCACGCCCAAGATCAATTCAGTCCCTCTTTCCCTCTTCGCTCCACCCTTGTCCTCCCCTCCTCCTTCTCTCCTCCTTCCCCCTTCCTCGCCGATCATTTCCAAACAAGGTCATATCGTATCCCCCTTTAGCATCGTCCAGTCCACGTGGGTCTTCTGCCACCTTCTCCCGCGTAGGACGGACAACGAACAAGATATCTGCCGCGTACTGGAACAAAAATTGACTCATTTCCTCCCTTGGGAGTCTCCTCCTCTTCCTCATGTCCCATCCCTCACCCTACTCACCGTACCCATCTCGCACTCCTCCCCCTTCTTCTCCCTCCTCCTCCTCCTTACCCCTCATCTCTCTCACTTACACTCAAGATCCAACACCGCCAGCGCTCTCCAACCACCCCCTCACATCATTTCCAACCCCAGCAGCGCTTACCGACCTCCTCACTTCCTATCTCACATCCCTCCACCCATCAAAGCGAGCCAAAGCACTCCTCTCCCGATCTTTTCTCGCTCTCATTCACTCCATCCTTGCATCACCACAATCAACCTCCATCTCCGACGCACAGACCCGTTTCTGGGCACGAAGACAGTTCGCCCTCCTCCCAGGACCGCATGGCGAACCCCGCGTCTGTCATCATTCCAGTTCTCTCCCCCTCGCTCCCGCAGAATCAATATGGCGAATCGTCACCGAAGCTCACGCCCGGGTAGGTCATGTAGGGAGGGATCGTACCGTCAGAGAAGTGCAGAAGGAGTGGGCAGGGGTACCTAAAGAGGTTGTCGGACGATACGTCAAGGCTTGTCCGGGTTGTCGGGGTGTGAGAAAAGTGGGTGGTGTGAGAGGACCGGGGGCTGGTGGGATACCAGGTGAGAGAAGGACCAGGGAGCTGAGGGAAGAGGACGAGGATGAATTGGACGAAGACGACAACACGATGCAGATCGATTCCCTCCGATCTGCCTCTGGGTCGTACGACTCCCAACCGCCGTTGTTACCATACGGGCACTCCTATCCTCAACCACCATTACAACCATACCCCGCCTATCCCCCCGTACCAACACACGTCCATCCAGCCCAACCTCTTCTTCAAAATCCCCCCGCATCGCACCTCCACCCATTCTCCCCTGCATCCTCTCACGCTAGTGCCCTCCACCCCATTTCCTCTGTCCCTGTAGGAACGGCAGGGTCCCCCCATGCGAGCGAGAGGAGCGCCCATTCATCGGCGTCAATTAGTAATGGCAAGAGCAGGAGCAGTTTGGAGATCATAGCTGGAAGTGGGTCGAAGGGAGTGGGCAGTTCACCCCTGGATATCCTCGCCAGTGTCGCTGTGGATTCACCCCCACATGGACAAAAGACTTCACCGACTTGTGCGGCCTCAGCAACACCGAAATCAATGCCGTCAGCATCAAGTTTATCCTCTTCCACCTCTGTACTATATACAACGTCCACAGGAACTCCCGCACCCGTAACTGTGGTAACAAAGCCCCCACCACCTACCCTCCCATTTACGACCTCCCTAGCCTCTCCGGACCAAAGCTATCGTTTCGCCTACCCTCCAAACGGCACAGGTCGCAGCATGAGCCCCACAGCGCACTATCCAGCATCCATGGGCCCCTCCGCACGCCCAGCAGGCTACGTGTCATCTTCCTTTAGCTCAAGCTCTTCCAATCCCGTCGCCTCATCATCTGGAACATCAGCACTCGATCTCCCTCGCCTGCCCCACTTTTTTAGTCTACTCGACCGCACCGCTTCCCGCCTTCCTTTCGATCCTCCCGCGCCCCTGCGTTCTCCCCCAGTAGGGCGGACCATCCTCCCTTCACTTCCCTCACTCAACCTTCCTCACGGTCCGTCCCCCTCTGCGCACAAGAGACCGGTTGCTGAAGGTTCGGGGAGGATAGGCTTGCCGAGTCACTTACGGACACGAGAGGGAGAAAGAGAGAGGAGAGGGAAGGAACAGGAGGAAGGAGAGAGACACAGGATGGAGAGGGAGATGGAGAAGCTTGCTGGAATGTCTAAAGCTGGTCCTAGTGCTGGAGGATCAGGCTCTGCGAGCACGAGCACGAGCACTCCTGCCAGTACAGCAGCTGCCACCAGTAACAAGACAATACCGCCGGACACTGTGATCTTCCCCAAAGCGGAGCAAGATGCTCCCCCAGTCTCGGGGAAAGGCAAGGCCCGAGCGGTCTCGCCCACCCTTACAGCAACGGTGGACGAGACGACGCTCCTTGCCGGGTCGAGTGGGTCGGGTTCCGGGCTGAGAGAGGAGGGCTGGGTAAGCTGTAATCCGCTCTTACCGAGGAACACGTGGGAGCCCTTGGTCGACGAGTAGGGTGGGCCGATGTTTCAACTGGTCAAACGAGGAACGGATGTACCCTGGCACTTCTGCACTTTGCAGGCGATTTGATGGCTCGACACGATGTATTATGCGATTCTCTGCACGACTTACGGACGATCCAAGACTAAACCGGAGAAAGCAACTTTTTTCAGTTCCGATTGACGACTTCTGTTATTCTAATGCCTGGACCGTACCATCCTGAACGACAAAACACACGACAAAACACATTTCAAAACGGCCCAACGTGCCGGCCGCCGTTTCGCTTACCCGCGACACCACAGATCCATTCAAAAGTATTACGACGCCAGGCTTACGCGCTGTATCCGACCACATCTGCGTACCTGATTCCTTTCTCAACCCATGTACTCACGTTTCTTCGTGCTTGACGTTGTACAAGCCGTGCTTTGTATTGGATCGGATACCGATAATGGATGGACGTGGACGGATATACAGCCGTTGTGTGTTATACCCCATCTATCATACTGCCCCATCGAGGACTCGGACGACGCTTCTGCCGTTATATCGTATACTCGAGCTACGCACGGATATCCGGAAGGCAACGCCGTTGGAGACGAGACGTCTCCCGAGTGTTGCTCAGATTTCGATGCCGCGACGCTGTTCAAGTGGTCGATGAGGCTGACCAAACCGGGTTTGTCTGTGAGATGGTTACTGCGGAATCCCGAGATCTTCGGCGCTGCGTAATGATTCGCTGACCAGCAATCGTTGAACGCTGATGTGTTTTTGCCTTCTGAAGAGCGCAGTCTTTGACCGGGAATGCAACCTATCCGACAATTTCGGCCCGTTGTACTGCAACATGAACTAGTTATTGATCATGCCCTGTGATGCCGGCGGCCCGCTATTCTGTCCGGTCCGAACTCAAACAATGCCTTTCAGGGCCGGTTTCTCCCCACACTTTTAAAGCCTAACGCCAAGGGTCCCCTGGGACAACACCAAGTGACAATAAACTTGGCGCCTGTCAGACATGTCAAACGTCAAAGTTAGAGACGGAACCTCCGAAGCGGTACTGGCTAGCTAGGGGGCTCGGAACGCGAGGAAGCTTAAGGGCTGAAAGGATTATGGGCGCGATCTGTGCACCCCACCACTCAGTTCTTCTCACGTCTCGCCAGCGACACCGGCTTCTTCTGGCGCATGGAGGAAACTCATAATAGCTTGCCCAGCGAGCTACATGCGTCCCCGTTTGTGCAGGAACATCGCGGCACTGTTATTGTGCCTTCCAGGGATATGAATAAGGGCTTGGCCAAGGCACAATCGAATGAGTGAATTGAATACTCGAGCTCATTGTAGAAAAGACTAATGACCCTCTCAGACCTGCCCAAATCGGAAGCGAAGCCGGTTCCGACAGCAACACGTGCCGTGTGGAGAAGCTCGTAATTTGGAAGACTCCAGTTAAACGGCTTGCAACTCCTCTCCAGATTCTGAAGTGTATGCACTTTGAAAGTGGAGGTTCGATGGTGCATGAGAGTTCTGCCGATGAATGGAGAACAGTCTACAGGTGATCTTCTCGTAAAACTTGATAGGCACAGTACTTACCTTCCTTTTACGGTTATGTGTTGCCGAGCGCTGGATGCGTCCTTCATTAATCCTCCATTTGCCTTGTGCGCACTCCTTTCACTGGTGGAGCTCAGCCGCAATAGAATTGATACCGGACGAGGGTTAAGGTTGATCACAGAAACCAAGTGTAGATCACCGCGAGAAGCGAGTTCGAACAGGACAATGGTCCTCATGAGCCACTCATACCAGCATATCCTCCGACTCTTCTGTGCGTTCTTCGTTGTTGTGTATTGCAGATGGCATTACACGCGCACTAGTGGCCGGCAAACGGCGTCGTATGGTTCGACTCAATAACGCAATCTTCTACACCCGAGCATAGGATACCAGTACCTACACTTGGCGCAGCTCACTGCCGTTCTAGATCTGTCAAGGGTTCAATAAGGTATCTTTCTAGGAGGTAGTACTCGGCTTCCCCTGCAATCCACCCCTATAGGGATTGCCATTACCAACAGCATCCTCACACGCAGCGTGCAGAGTTCTTGTTTCACTATCAGGCGTTCTCGCCTGGTGGACGGATTCTTGCAACATGGTTTTTGTTGTCACAAAATATCGAGAGAAGGTTATGGATCAGAAGTAACATCGCGACATCAACGGATACCAGTCATATAACAACCACTGGCCCCGCTGACAATGCTGCGGGCCAGCAGGGCGGCGCCGCTCACTGGGACCGCGCGACTCCTCTGATCGCGCATCACTTGCTTCTCTTCTACAGGGTACAACCGAGAATTTCCCAGCCTATCTACAATGTTCTGCAGTATCAAGGCACAAGTCCCGACATCATACCGATTCTGGTGGAAAATGCCTTAGATATATACACATGCCGACCCATTGATATCGAGAACCATTTGGAGGCACGTTTTGCCTATCGTCCGAAGTTGGCCTCTTTTGTGCATTTTACCTTCCTTTGCACGAAGCCTAAAGCACGATAAAGTGGCCCCGGGCAATGGTTTGCTTCCCGCGTGGAATCGAGAAATTCACTCGGCCACTCTGACGGCCGCGCCGTCTCATAGACACGTTCATTTTGATAGATGCCATTTGTAGACTACATTTTTGCGTCCTTTATCTCTGAGACCGTGATTACACAGGAAAGAAACATGAATAACCCTAAAAAATGAGTGAATGATAAGAGCGTTGCGATTCACTCTGTGTCTATTAAGGCAGCAACGTGCAGAAGAAGTCTAGGTGTTCGAGTTGGCCGTGTGCTGTTTTCAATACCCCCTAAGTATTCAGTAAGTCAAGCATCGATGAAAGTGAGTTATTAGACTGACATCTCTCTAGAAGTCCCAGAGAGTCCCATAGCACGGCATGCCGAGCCGCTTGCAGCCCTCCATCATTTCCATGTTCCCTTGATAGTTCGAAGTGATGAACACGACTTGTGCACCCCAAGAGTCGTAGGCCTCTTTGATGAGCTTCATGATATCAGGGCGAGACTTGCGCGCCTTGGAATCCCAGATAATCCTGCGCTCTTCGCCAACATTCTGCTCCATGAGGTCTACAATGGTGTCGCCGAAAGTGTTGCGGAAGTCCGATCCGATCCAAATAAGGAACCAGTTGGGGCTTTGCATAATAGTCGAAAGTCCAGAACCGATACCGGTACCGGTGCAGACACGGATACCCCTCTGGTAGAGCCTCGAGGTATTGGACACATGCGGGATCTTCAGCTCACGTGTCCAGATATATTTCGGACGCTTCTCGACGAGACTGCGAGTGAAATCGCCCTGCACACCGCAGATCATGTAGTGACAGTCCGCTTTCGGGCTTACAGACTAGGTAAAAGAGTTAGCTCAAATCGCACAGTAGCACACTAGGACGGTACTAACGATCAATCCAAACAAATGGTATTCCCAGACGGCATGGTGACTGATGCGCCCGAGGAGTCCCTGCTGCATACCGCGTCTGAACTTAATGACTGCTGTCGTCTTTCTCTTTGGCTGAAACAGGTGTTAGCCGCATACGAGAGACCGATGAAGGGCTTACAATTTCGATCTCGATCGGCACGCGCCTGGTCATAGTCCAGGGCAGCACGATCCTGCAAATCGGTTAGTAAGATGCATAGCCAGAGTTGGAGCTCGCATACCAGACACTCATTCCGATGACAAACCAAAACTCCTGAGCGTGTGGCACAGCCATTGGATTGTATTCCCACTGACGAGTTGTGGTATTGAATTGAGTTGCCACTATTGAGAACACCCATGTCATGACCAGACTGGTCCAGCCGAGGAACCTGTGCCATCTTTCGAACACACTAGCAAAACGTCAGGATGTGATGTTTTACAAGCAGTATGAAGCCCACTTGTGTGCACGGTTCCGAACGACGGGCCAGCCCGCGAAGAACGTAATGCCGAGACATGTGCAAGTAATGATACCCTTGATGAACATGCCAGTGAGTATATGCAGAGATAAACAGAATATACTGGCTTACAAAGGCATTGGCAGCGGGACCGGACCAGCCTGAGAGTTGAACGAGCTGTACGGTCCTCCATATCATCCATGCCAGACCAGATGAGGCACACCCGGAGTGAATACCCCCCAGGTGCTGCAGCATCGATGAGATACTAAGGCGCCACCAAAGAGGAGACCACTAGTACAGCCTTAGAATGCATGTATGGTTAAGAAAATTATTCGTACCTTGGCAAAAAGAGTGTTAAGGATAAGGAAAAGAGACCGTAAGAAGCACTCGTTCCGAACAAGGACGGCGATGCAAAGGTTGCCGACGATGAAGGCACCAGGGTGTGATGTTGCGTACCCAAAGCGACCAATAGAGGCGAAAAAAATTGCGAAAGCATTGAAAATAGCCACGATCGTGCAAAGTTTCCTGCGCACCATCAGATTATGCGTCAGGGAGAAATGTCCTAGACTTGCCTGTAGGTATTGAAAATGAGACGGAACTTCACCCACCACGGGGCAGTATGAAGCTCCTTCCACGTACGTTGCCAGTAGGTCTGCTTAGGAGGAGGACGCTTAGGCCTTTCCTCCTTCTCCTCCGGTTTCTCGGCAGGCTTCTCAGTCGCTTGTTCCTTGGAAATGGTCTTCTCGTCAGCGGGGCTAGAGACCTCACTCTTCGTTCCCTCCGGCGCCCGGGAATTGGCCTCGTATATCAGAACGGCCAATCCAGCCTCCAGCGGGTTTGGCTTAGTGTCGGCCATTGGGGTGTAAAGGCTCGGTTATGATCTCAGTCTCTTCACTGAAAGGCGATTTGGTAGAGGCGGGTGTGAGGGCGCTGAAAGTCACAAAATGGAGAGTACTGCAATGCCCAAGGAAGGAGGGGAGTGCGGTTTGATATGCTGCTATACCGTCTAAAGCCTGCCTTTAAGTACTCTGAAGACTGTGAAGAAGCAACTCACGCAAGAACTCCGTCCCCCTCGAGAAGATAGTGTCCAGGAGATGAGAAGCATAGAGAGACCCACCGCATGGCCGAGATTGCACCGGCTTCGCTCCATCAGCAATGCCGTCCGTGATTTGAGGTCGACAAATAAGGAAGATCGTAGAACATAGAAGTCCAAAGCATGTGAGCGGGTATACTTCGCACTGAAGGCCGCTAGGCACCCTGAAAGTGATCCTGGAATTCGGTAATCTCACCGCGCGGACGCAACAACTGTGCAAGAATTTGCTGAAACTGCGCGAACATAGCAACAGCGTAAGGCAGTTCAACAAAATCCTGAGACTGCGCGAACACAGCCACGATCCAAGCAGGTTAATATACCGTAAAACTGCAGAAATAAGGAGCGAGGTCGGATGGGTCTCGCTGGAGCGTGCCGGGTCCCTGCCCAAGGTTGCGGCAGCACGTGGAACCACTTCCAGGAAACACTTATGGCTGAGAATATTATATGCAGCTAGGTTGCCTGGCGGAACCTAAACGATCTCCCCAGCTACAGAACGCAGTGAATTGTAGCGAACTTGATCTTGAAGAAATGAGTGAGGACCGGGATGTAACAGCCGCCTCATTGATTTGTGTTGAAACGTGTCCCATCGGATAATTGTGAGTTCCGAATTTGTCGAAGACAGAAGGAGAATTCATAGCCACTGTTGTCCGTGCTTGAATATGGACTGATGTATTGGTGCAAGCTTGAATTGCTCTACGCCACGGCCGCATCCAGTTGGTCACTATCACACCCTTTCGGGCACAGACAGCCGCTTCGCATAAACCTAGACTAGATACTGTTCCATCTGAACAGACGATAGGGGCAGAGTACGTCAGTGAAATCCGTCGCGAGTCCATAGTATTCGTACCAGCCATGTGTTTTCCGCAACACGGTCTTGGTATCATTATACGCCATAGTTAGGAGGGGCCGCACGTTCTTCTAATCCGTGCATCGACAGGAACCTTGACAGAAGGCCGGGTTTCCACCATACGATCGTGCAGCGTATCAATGCCATTCACTCGTGTGAAGGAGCAACGTCCGCATGATTTGCGATGTCTGAAAATCGCAGCACGAGGAGGGCCAGAACGATATTGCGGTACTCAGATATTGACCGGGTGAATCGTCGTCAAGAGAGAAACGCTTCCGCGCTCAAAAAATACCACGGGAGTGGCGAAAACACGTGCCAAGCCTATGCGGCCTGTTTCTGTTCTTCTCGTCTGCTCTACGTAAATTGCGTTCTTTTCGCGAGCCAATAGCCTAATCAGGGGTTGTATCTTGTATCTTCTTCTTGTCTTCCGCTTCTACCCGATTTCAGGCCCTGAAAAGTTTGCCACCATCTCTCCTCCTCACTTGGTGCAGCGCCCTATCGCGATCTTGGAGAGAATGCTGGCAATTTCGCGGGCACCTTGTTCAGTCTTCTGTGTCAGAAGCACCTGACGTTTGTAGCGTTCCTGCTCTCTATGGTATGTCAGCACGATCTCAGGTACGTGTCCGCCTAGGAAGAAATGGGGCGTGGTGCAAGGCTATCGGAGCATGTCCAGTGACAAAGCATCCATAGGCGCCATGAATGCGATATGACATCCTCGACCTGACCATCTCGAGGCTTTCCAGGAACTATTGTTGCCTGAGCAACCCCGTTGGCCGACGTGGCCAATGCCCTATTTCCAAAGCACACCAAGAGATGCACTGCTGTGCTTCTTGCTTCTTGCTTCTGCCAGGCCGGGTTCGCTCAGATATCCGAGGCTAAAATGTGTCCCGAGAAGCGAAACCTTCTTGTCGAGCGCCTACATTGATATCCGTGAAGAGCCAGGGATACACTCCCACACCTTCTTTACAAGCACACAAGTTTCTGGCATGTCTTTCAATTTCGCTTGACCGTTATACTGAATGACCGGGAGTTGCTGACTAGCCTGGAAATTAGGAATACCATGCTAAATGACGCTAACGAGCGGTAATGTTTGGAGCGCCTCCGTCAGCACCGGTGTTCCGCCGTTGTTTCCTTTCACAAGGGACATCGCCTGCGCCTGCCAAGGCGACCGTGATCGCGGATGCTACGGTTGGGCTGCGGAAATGTTGTTTTCGCGGTACTGTTCGATGACGATTCTGGGGACAGGTGCATACGACGCGGTCCCAAGCGTCATACTCTGGAGGAATGAATCCTGTCAGCTTATCTGTGATATTCCAGCCCCACACCGTGGCGTGAAACGTAGCCGAACAAAGAGCTGAGGGCTCTCGCGATCACGTCTGTCTTGCAACGCAGACCAAGTGATATTGCAACAAAAAATTCAACCGTTGAGATACGAATGCGACGCAAGCTGCTGCTACACCTACGCGGTTGGACACTATCGAATGTATGACGTCGAGGGGCTGGTACAGCATGGTCAGATCGAACGATTGAATGGGCAAGACGGTACAAATCGTTGACAGCGTGCATGCGAGCTACTCGAGCTGGCGACAAAACTGAAGAACGAAGACCCCATCAGCATGTTTTAACCTTTAAGACCCAGTTACGCCGCTCAAGACATCATTCATATCAGTCGTTCCCTGAGCCCGGATTTGCATACAGTAAAAGCTGCCCTTATTTCGTAGGCAGTTGGAAGTCTCGGCTCCGACAGGAGAACGCCACAGGTAGGGTGCAGAGATGCATTGAGCGTGTTAAAAGCAAAGGAAGCGAGTTCTCTACATCGTGTTGCTGTATCAAGGCGATCATACCAGAACGGTTGAGCAGACATCACCCGCACAAAGAGCTCTATCTCGCTATCGGGAAAGAAGCCCTGTCGGCCCTGAGATGCTGGAAAGAGGTACGAACTGGGCCCGGTTTTGCCAACCAAAGAAGTCCATTACGTCCATTCGCTTCGTGCATCTGGATAACGATGATCCTGCGAAGGTACAGACTAAAGAAGCAGCATCGAGTGCCGAGAACAAAGTCCCGAAGCGTTGTACACCGCATCTCTCAAGCAGGAATGGACTCCATCGGATGAAGAAAACGCCCGCAGTCGCCTTCAGTACTACAACTGCTCCATCGCCCAAGGTGCGATGGGGGTTGATAGACTTCTGATTTTACGCGAAGATTGACTTGCTCATGGTGTGGGGTGACGTGGGGGCCGGCAAATACTAAGCTTCCATTGTTGGGTGTTTTCATAGAGGCAGTTAGCTTAACAGTGGGAAAAGATGGTTGTTCAGACTTACGGTATCTTCGATTCGCGTGTCTGTAACTCGTACGAGAACGATCACGGAGTATAATAATAGGTTTGCGGTAAGAAGGACATGAGGACGTTCGGGGGAGGGCCTAAAGGAGATGATTGCCTTATAGCGTGATCAAAACCTACCGAAAGTCCAGGTCTGCGCAGCAATATTCTTTCCCAGAAGCTAGACAGGAATATCTTTATCCCCAGTGTCCAACGCAAGTCGGAAATAGGTTCAGGAACCTTGATATTCCGTGTTGCGATATACGCCAAGTGGGTGGAGCGCTAAGCTGTCTGAGCCCCAATCAAAAGAATGTTTTGGCCAATCTTCGCGTTGCTTGTAGCCCGCGTGCCTTGTGTTGATACAAAGTTGTACCGAAGTGTAGTCGCGCAGCTTATTATACGCCAATATTCTTCGTTGGTGGGATGCAGTCAGGTTTCTGCTCGAACACTCTCTTTGCGAGAAGAGGAAATGCCTTTCCAGGTACGGGAAAACGGCGAGTTATCGGTCCTCACGTCCGGCGTAACTTTATGTCGCCAGCGTAAAGACAGAAATCAACAGATTTAGTGCCATGATCTTTGGTAAGGCAGCGATTTGAGGAGGTCATACCAGGATAGGCAGGCCTGGTTTATCCCTGAATCCTGCGGGGGATTGGCGAGCGCTCGGCATTCTGCGAGAAGTCCAAAGGATTGCCAGGTCCGTCAGAACCTTGACTGGTATTACGTTTCACCCTTCCCTTCATGGAGAGCATCAACCACGTCGGTTGCTTGTCGGTCGTATAAAAGGAGATTAGGCTCTGGTGCGTCCAAGAAGGTCCTCCGGCGGTTCTGGTAGTCGGACCGTGTGTGAGAGCCCGATGGCACCGGGCACCCTGATAGGATATACTGACCCTCCGGCTTCCTATTTTCCTGCGCGTTCATCGGGCGTAGAGTAGACTTTTCAAACCAAGCAGAAGCTTTTCTGAGAGTGAAAAGATGTCAAATGAAAGATGGTGGGTCGGTTCCTCGGTGAACGGTGCCGTAACCTCGGCGCGATGTTGCACCGCCTCTCGGATCACCGGCTATTCACCCTGCCCCCCGGCAACATGAAGGGGTACGTAGCTTAACACCCACCTCATCAATGCACCCCTCGGTACGCTGCCTAAGTGCTACAATCTCGCACTCTCGCAATGGCCCGCTTACATTAGGCTTCATTGGCCTTGGTGCTATGGGCCGACATATGGCATGGAACCTGTATTTGAAGACGCTGCTTGCCCAGCAAGGACCTCCTCCTTCCCAGGAACCGGAGCCCATCATGTTGTTGTGTGACGCGAACGAAGACGGTGCGAAGAAGTTCATGAATGACTGCATGGAGGCGAAAGCCACGGAAAATGTACTGGGGGGGAGAATGGAATTTATGGAGAGTCCTCGAGCGTGCGTCTCGGCGCGTGTGGTAACCAGAGGTTGAGTGAGCTGATACTTGCGCAGACTTGCAGAACGAGCGAATGTCATATTCACCGCGCTGCCTTCCTCACCCGAAGTTAAGAGTGTGTATCTCGGAGAGAAGGGCATTCTAGCCGGGTTGAACAGAGAAAAGGACCAGCTGTGCGTGGACGCGACTACGTTAGACGTTTCTGTCGCACGGGATGTGTCAAACACAGTACGAGAAGCAGGTGCCGAGATGGTCGATGCGCCGATGTCCGGCGGTATGGGGAATATGATACATTTGCGTAAAGGCTGACACATGATCCTAGGCATCGTCGGCGCGAAAGCCGGGACGTTGTCATTCATGGTAGGAGGCACCGAAGCCGCATTCAATCTAGGTAACTATCCGCACAATCATGGAGTGAGAATTTATGAACCTATCTAGCCGAACCGTATCTTTCGAAAATGGGAAGTCGCGTCATACATTGTGGTGCATCAGGGATGGGGTTGGCGGCAAAGATCTCGAACAAGTCAGTCATCACGGTCCCTTCATCCAGTCACGTCCACTGCTGACCACCCCCGTAGTCTCGTCCTCGGCATCAACCAGATCGCAATCGCCGAGGGCCTCTTACTCGGGACCTCGCTCGGCCTCGAACCCGCTCTGCTGACAGATATCATCAACAGGTCCACAGGGCGAAGTTGGCCGAGCACCGTCAACAATCCCATCCCTGGTGCGCTGAAGCCGCCTGCAAGCCCACCCTGCGAGAGGGGCTATGAAGGCGGGTTCGCGAGCAAGCTGATGTTGAAGGTGCTGGCGCTGCCCTGACACTTGCTGGCGGACGCTGACTAGATGTCTAGGACATGAGTCTGGCAATTCACGCTGCAGAGGACACGGGAGTCCCGCTCCCACTCGGGTCCAAGGCGACAGATGAATATTCCAACGTCGTTCAGGACAACGAGCTGGCACGGAAAGATTTCAGCGTGGTGTACGAGTACTTGCGGCAACGCATGACAGCCAGTCGGGCTGGGACGAGTGAGAAAGCTGATCTAGAATGAGAAAGCTACGTACCGTTCAATCAACAATGTGGTTCTGATCCACCGAGATTGTTTTGGGGTCGGCCGGACGTGAGGTGAATGCTGGCGGATGACCGTACGACCATTCAATGAGCTGTAAGTGAATACGCTACTGTGCTGCGGAGCGGATTCGCGAAACGCTTACTGATTATGGGATTGCTTCGTAAACCAACATAAACCAAGATGCAATGCCGATCTCAACGTCAGACGGCGGCAGGAGAAACGGTGGATTGAAAGTAACGTTATCGATCCTTATCAGCGGAAGTGATCCGATATGATAGCCGGGTTGCTGGCCGATGCTCCGGCTTAACACCACTAGCAGCCTCCCTTTACCGAGCTGTGAGACTCAGCAACCTGTGGTAAAGACTATTCTTTCGGAGGTAGAACGCTTGGAAGTCGAGTTGGAAGTTCACAACCTCCACTTGATCCAAGTCGTCCATGCTGGAACCATGTTGTGCACTGCCCGATATCCAGCGTCGCGGCACTCTCCAGTTGATTGGAGTCACGCTAGTGCGGATTTCGCTTGAGAAGGGAGAGACATGCAGCATTTCATCGGAGGATCGCCATCCTACATCAAAATCCCGAACTTTAACGTCCAAGTGCAAGTGGAGCTAAGAAGGACATCCCCGAATTGGCAGACTGTCGCCGATTGGACAATCTGTGGCATCTCGGAGACCGAAATTGAGCGAAGTTTGTGGGAAAAGGGGCTGGACGTTTCAAGGAGGATTTCGAGCGACGAGCATCAGGACGTCAGGTGAATTCCAAACGGAAGTGCCAAAGTACCGGTTGATTGGCTCGGGGACGAGGGACATGAAAGCAGGATCGTTCGAAAGAGGATAACTCTATGCCCTTTAGGCACACACGTCAAAGAACAAGGATCGAAATTTCATCTTTCTTGTCGAAACTCTCAAGTTGGAAAGATGGGATGTTCGATAAAGAGCCCCGAAGTGGAAATGCAGGACTTTAATGGACACGCACCGCATTGCGAATGGCATGCTTCGAAAAGCATCCGGTCGAGTCGGCGTGCAGGAGAGGGCGCGTCTGCCCACATCAGGCACCTCACACATCGCAACCGCCGACCCAAGGGCATGCTTCTCCCCTGCCTGCCCCCTCACACGCCCCTCTCTTTCTCTTCTCTGTCTTCTCCTCCTATAATTACGTCCTGCATATAAGCGCTTGACCGACTTCTACCTGGATCGACTTTCACTGTTGGACACGTACTTGGTTCGCCCGCATACACAGTATCCTACATTTACGAGTTGGCGTCGATCGTCATCTGTGCCCTAACAACAACAGCCTATATCAGAAGTTTTTCCGGTACCGCAAGCGCCCCTGTATTTGACTCGAACCCGATATCATGTCTGGTACTTCACGCCCTAATGTCCTCATCGTTGGTTCGTCTGATGCATATATATCCCTCCAATGTCCTGACCCGTTGGCCAACCAGGCGGACTCACATCTGTATCGCGCCAATTCGCGCAGTCTCTGTTCCCACCTAATGGACCTCCCCTAGTTGAAGTGCGTTGTTAGACCCCTGATATTAATATACCCTGACCTTCTTCCAGTATCTGCGGATCGTCGACAAATACATGGTACAACCACCGACGACTTACGTCGGTCCAGACTTTCCCCGGCTCGTGAACCGCCCCGATGTGGAGTATTCGCAGAATAACCTCACAATGCCGGAAAGGCTTCCGACAGTGTTTGATCCCCCCAGTAATGGCAGGCCGTGGGATCTTGTATTTGACTTTTTAGGGGAAGTGGTTTTCGATACGAGCGAGCGCGTAAGAATCCGTTTCCCACCGATGTTAGTGGCATATATGCTCATGTGCTAGTAGACACAAATTCTACAGACTTACAGAGCCTCCGTCAACTGCGGTATCGAGGCTGCTCGACGAGGCACTGTAAAGGCTTATGTGCGCCTCACGTGGGGCTTCTATCACTGCACCTGGGACCGGCTGCATACAGAGGATGAGATGCTTGAACCGGATGGCGTGCGGGGGTTATGGTGGCACGAGACGCTGCGGTCACTCGCTGCAATCCCGAAGTACGCGTAACCGTCATCTGCCGTCAGTTAATGAACTGATGAAACACAGCCTGCCTCTCGTGATCATTCGCGCCGGCATCCCGTATGGCCCGTACTGTTCATTCGGAGTCGTCGCGCAGCGTATCCTCATCGGCGAGATTTACAGGTACAAGAAGCGAACCATGCGCTACCTGTGGTCTCCTCAGCTGCGTCTCAACACCGTGCACACGGACGATATCTCCGGTGCATGTTGGAAGGTTGCGATGTGGATCGCTACGGTTGGTCGAAATACAGCCATCGCACAGGCAGGGGTGGCTATGTACTTCGCCAATGATGAAGAAAGGTTCCCACCTGGACTGCCAGGTGTGGTGCCGCCCGATGAGGCACCCAGGGCTGCATTCTTCAACCTGGTCAGATTGACTGTTGCGAAGTTCATTCTCTCTTCTGACATGACATTAGACCGATGGCTCTGACTCTACGCAGATGTCTGTCGGAACAGCAATCGCCTCTGTTTTCGGTATCAGCCTCGGTTTTCGTAAGGTCCCCTCGGATGCTGACATAGAAATACTCGCCGGTACTGTCAACACATGGCACGGCGAAGTCTGGTGGAACCTCTGCCAGAGGAACAATCCCCCGATTGAGTACCCACCCATGCACACATATGTGGAACCACACGACCTGACGGACCAAGCGAGTGCGTGGGATGGACGCAAGTTCAACCACATCGTGCGCTATACGTACAAGCGGCCGCAGTTGACGGCCCAGGCCATCGCGGAGATAGTCAGTCTGTGGAAACGGGAAGGTTCCTTCCCCGTCGTAAATGCCGTTGATCCGTCGTTGTCGTCTGATGAGGAGGACGACGATGACGAGGAAGAACATGACGATGAAGATGAAGCGGCGGAATAATCGATCGAAGGCATTCTCCCGTCAGTCAGTCTCGGCCACGAGCACTATTGTATCATATCACCAGTCTGCGTTGTTCTCTTTCTCATGTCACACGCTTCGCCGCACACCACTAATCAAATCCCACCTCTGTGGATTCCGCTGGTTCTCGTCGCGCTGCTCACCCACTCGTAACGACCGCCGCCATAACCGGACGGTCTGTAATCCTGGCCGGTCTCAACGTACCGCGTCCGATCAACAGCGCGGCACACGTATCATCTCGTGCCCCTCTGGGCAGTAATTCTCGCGCTTCTTCATCTACTCTCAAAACCAAAGAAACCAAATTTGTATTAGAATACATACGAGTCAAGAACAATGAATCTGCTGTCTTTGTACACTGCCGATCCCCAAACGCCTAGGAGTTGTGGTTCGAATAAGGAGCGTGGGTGTTTTGGTTGTCACAGTGATATCTCTATCAATAAATACGATAAACATGCCGGTGGTAGCCAGCAGCATCAAACATGCAACAAGTAATGTAACGACAGGTATCGGTCATCCGGAAGACGAAATCGTATAACAAGATAACGTGTGAAAAGCTGCTTCTGAATATCCCCAGATACCCATCGAGATGGATGATCACTGCTCCTCATGCTCACCCATGACCTTGGCCAGTCTCTCTGATGCCTCATCCGCCTTTGTCTCGATCACTTCAAAGGCCACACCCTTCGCCTTCAAGCGCGCTTTCTCAGGGCCCTTCTTTGTGGCCGCCGATGCAGTGCGTTTCACCTCACTCGCTCCCGCAGTCCAGCCTGTTGCGCGGCCTGAGAACACCTCGGCGCTACGATCAAGCAATACATCTAGATCTTTGTCCGAGATAATCTCGTCTCCCTGGGCGACGATGTTTATCTTCTCCCCTTCCAAAGCGAGCAGGCTAGCCGCCATCTCCGCCAGACTCTCACGCTTCATTTCAATTGTCCCGTCCGGACGGCGGAACTTGCCCTTCGCGATGACGAGCGCCTCGAGCTTGCGCTTCTGAGCGGCACGTTGCAGGATGTTCGTCTCGATGGTATGTGCCGACACGAGCCTGAAGATCAGCACAGGCTTAGTCTGCCCGATTCGGTGCGCGCGGTCTTGAGCCTGTAAATCCATTTGTGGATTCCAATCTTGGTCATAGAAGATGACGGTGTCCGCGGCAACGAGGTTAATGCCGAGGCCGCCTGCACGAGTTGAGAGAAGAAAGAGATGCGGCGCATCTGGCGCATCTCCGCCTTTGTTGAATCGGTCCATCTCGCTGCGCCGCTCTAACGGCGGTGTTGACCCGTCAATGCGGCATATCTCCCAGCCTTTGAACTCCGTCGCCCAGTCTTGGACGATGTCAAGCATCGTCGTGAACTGACTGAATAGGAGAACCTTGTGCTTTTTCTTGAAGAGTGCATCAAGCAAGCGATCGAGAAGAAGCATCTTGCCGCTTGCGCCAACGAGCTCTTCGTTTACGATTTCCTGCCCAGTGTTGGGGTCGACCGGCCATTCGAACAGGAATGGATGTGAACAGACTTTGCGCAGCTGCATGACGCGGTTCTGCAAGTTCATATTCGCGACGGACTTGCCTGCATCGAGTTCAGCCTGTAAGACCAGAAAAAGGTGAGGCAAGCGTACGAGCTTTGGAGAGCATGTATTCTGCCCCAGCTTCCTCCGGTGTCATGTCCTCCGTTTCACCAGATTTTCTTCCACCCTTCTTCTCCCACTCCTGCAGATACTTGTCGTCATTGTCTTCCAGGGCGTGTGCGTAGCTGATCCTCTTCCCTTTTCTCAGCTTGCGCCGATAGCGTTTCCCGTCCGATCCATCTTCGTCCTCGTCTTCCTCAACCGCAGACAACTTGCCGGATTTTCTTCCTGCCTCAAGTTTCTTCTCGATTAACCAATCCCTCACATCTCCGCTCGCGATGACCTTGTACAATTCGCTCTGCAGTTGAGTGAGGGGCGCATATAGCACATATTCCTTCTTCGGAGGAAGGTTTATCTCGACATCGGTCTTGAGTCGTCGAAGCAAGAAAGGCTTGAGGATGTCGTGTAGGGAGTTGACAATCTGGGCGGTTTGCTCGGATGTCAGTTGGGCAGCAGACTCAGATTCAGAGGGCGCGGAGGTGATCTCGTCGAAGTCGAACCTGTGCGGTAATTAGTCACGTCGTAAATATCGCGTGAGATAGGTACCATTGTTGGAAGGCAACCAGATCGTCGAAGATAGTGGGCAGGATGAAATTGAGCAGACTCCACAATTCGGCGAGATTATTCTAGGAAGAACGTTAACGATTCACTCTTGGGCTATTCATAACAGCACTCACCTGCAAGGGGGTTCCCGTTAGGATCAGTCTGTTATCCGATTTATACTGCCTGATTTCTTTGATGAGCCGGCTCTCCATATTCTTAAGCCTATGACCTTCGTCGACAATGAGATGCCTCCAGTGGAACGAGCCCAAGAACGCCTTGTCGCGTATAACCATTTCATATGTTGTCACGACGATGGGGAACGTCTCCTCGGTGGTAATCGCTGGCGTTCCGCTTCGGGTGCCTGGGGCTGATTTGCGCCCAGCCGGTTTGAGTAGGCGGTGTTTTTTGGGAGCAGGTCCATCATGGTCTTTGTGTGGAAGGACGAGGGTCGTACGCTGCAACTCGCGGCGCTCCTCAGGCGTACCGTGATACATTATCGCGGGAATCTGAACTGTGTCAGCATCGGTCCTCGCACTGACAAACAATATAGGCATACTGTAGGTGCGAACTTCTTGAATTCATCCACCCAATTGTACATCACGCTCAGAGGGCATACAATGAGGAAAGGGCCCCAAACGCCATGCTCCCTCAGGTGAGCAAGCAATGCAATCACCTGGAGCGTCTTTCCGAGTCCCATCTGCAGACGGCTCATCAGTCATTGAGCATTGTTGGCTGATGAAGCCGACTCACCTCGTCAGCAAGAATTCCATTGAGACCATTCGAATGCAGCGTTACGAGCCAGTTCAGCCCTGCTCGCTGGTACGGTCTGAGGGTAGCCCCAGTGATAAGCTTCGGCTGTTCGATCCATGGTGCCTCGTCGGTTTCCTCTCTGCTCTGAACAGCTGCATCAAGTGTCTATACGCGCATATACTCAGCTTTGGCACATGCGGTACTGTTCAAGACATACCTTCTCATCAATTTCGAATTCATACTCCTCCCTTCCGCGCTTCTTGCTGCCGTCTTTCGCCGGACGCCCGCGCTTCCCGCGCTTCCCGCGCTTCCCTTCCTTTCCTTCTCCAGCCGTTGCAGGCAATTCTTTCTTCGCTCGATCTGCAGATTGCTTCTGCATGATATCGCGCATAATCCCGCTGTACGCGGTGCTCTGCTTGAGCAGGTACTGAAGCCGCGCATAGCGCTTGGGGCCATCCTGTACAAGCTTTCAATATTATCCATTGAAGAAAAGAAAGAAATAAGCGAACCGAATCGACTGTCAAAGGAGGAGGAGGGTCAGGGTACGCAGACTTTCCCTCTAGCTGAGAAGGTATTTCAGGCAAAGGCGTGTCAGGCCCGACGGTGGACACGGCGGATGACTCCATCGTTAAACTCGGCGGCGGTGATAGTGAGGCGGTGGACATCTCCAGCGGCGGATGAAGGACAATTCCGTCGTACAAGTTTAGCAAGAGAGCAAGAGAGCGAATGAGCCAAGAACGAGTGTTGAGGTCGAATAAACCAAAACGGGCGACAGCAGGTGAAGCGGGGAGGATCGCGACGCGACGCACATGACAACATTTCGGGCGCGTCTGTGGCTGTGCCTCCCGTGACGGAAAAGGAGGAAGGCGGGGTTGGGGGCTGATCGACGTCAGGGTGGTGTAAGTCGATGATGAGAGCCAGTCATTACTCCGCTCACATTCCCCAGCCCCTGGAGTGGCACCTACCTGTCCTCCAGGACAAGCCTGCAGGAGAGACATAAAAGCTGGGGGGAGGCCACGGCTGACATGGCTCGTCAAATAAGCCTTCCCCCCTCTCCATCCCTCTCTATACACCAACACCATGTTGCGCGACCGTGACACAGCGACCAAGAAAGCGCTCCATTTTGGTGCGGGAAATATCGGGCGCGGTTTCATAGGACCGCTTCTGGCAAACTCTGGGTACCATGTCATATTCGCGGATGTGGATGAAGATACCATCAACAAGCTAAACGAGGTGGATACATACGGGGTACATATCCTCGATAGTACGTGCACAATCTTTTCCCTTCAAGAAGACATCCTCTCATCATCCGTATCAGAGGATGAACATTTCCGGCACGTTGAACCTATTGGCAATGTCTCGGGCGTGCTTTCACACCAGCCCGATGCACAGTTTTTCACTGCCGACCCTACCGTACACCTCATCACCACCGCCGTTGGGCCCAACGTCCTCCCCAAGATTGCCCCAACTATCGCCGAGGGCCTTTCCCAAAGACGAAAGTCTCACCCGGACGGAGGAATCAACATCATCGCTTGCGAGAACAAGGTCGGCGCAACCGCCATGCTTCGTGACGAGGTGCTCAAGTCCCTTTCTCCTGAAGACGCTGCCTGGGTGAAAGAGCATGTTGGGTTCGCCAACTGTTCGGTTGACCGCATCATCCCACCATTCGATCCGAGCGAGGATCCTGAGGCAGACAACGACCTAGACGTTGGGGTGGAGGGATTCTTCGAATGGGTCGTCGAGTCCCCCGCTCTCAAGGAGCCGAAGCCGCACATCGAGGGAATGCAGCTCACAGCCGACCTGGTTGCGTACGTCGAGCGTAAACTGTACACGCTCAATACCGGGCATGCCACGTGCGCGTACCTTGGGTACCTGAAAGGGTTATCGACAATCGATGTGGCTATCTTAGATCCCGATATTCGGCGAGCCGTCGAAGGGGCTCTGGAGCAGTCCGGCGCAGCGCTGATCAAGAAGCACGATTTCAATGTGAAAGAACATCAGGCGTACAAACAGAAGATTCTAGAGAGGTTCGAGAATCCCGCCTTGAAGGACAGCACGGACCGAGTTGGCCGCCAACCGATGCGAAAGCTGGGCAAGCAGGACAGACTCGTAGGGCCGGCTATGATGTGCCGTGAACTTGAACTTCCGAACGACTGGCTGCTGAATGCCGTGGCTGCTTGTCTCCTGTATGATGTTGAGGATGACGAGCAGGCCAAGGAACTCACAGGAATGATTGCAGAAGATGGGGTAATCAAAGTTGTGCGGGAGCTGACGGGACTGACCATGGATGAGGTCAGCACGGTGGAGCGCAAGTATGAGGAACTGAAGAAATGGAAAAAGCAATCGGGTCGCTTGGAAACGGCGTTCTTTTTCCGAGAAGGTGCATGTGTTTGAAAATATCCCTACCTGTACATTAATACTCGAATGTATAACGTTTTTGTTCATCATGTCGGGCTTCTTCCATTAATTCAGAATAGTTGATTCCTTCAGGTTGAAAAAGTCAAGCGAATAGTATTGAGTTACCATCTACGGCATCCGCATTGATACGCCCGCGTGATCTTCATTCAGCACAGCTTAAGTTGATCTTCGGGTCGCACCCTTGTTTTCCGCAAGATTCTATTTCTCTACATTGTCGTGTAATACTCAATTACTCGCGATTACGCTCAATGGACTCGTGCAAGTGCTTTAGAGCGCTATTGGAGGAGAACATTTTGGCGTGCGGATCGGGATCAAGGAACCCGAGGTTCGTCTCATCATTCATCGTCCCAGGACAGAAGTCGTGACTAAGAAAGCCTTTCGAAAGTGTCTGCCTTCTTCTATCTTATAACGGCCATGAGCCAAATCACGACACATACTGCACAGCGTTGCGAATACTGAACACCATTCTATTGTTTTGAATGACAGCGACTGGCCTGGTATTGGTTCTTGCCTCGAGGCCGAGTGTATGCGAGCTTTTCAAGGCAATATTCTCTCCGCATGCGCGTTGAGCGATTTCGTTATATAAGTGTGCAAGAGAGCTTCTGGCGGGCCGTCTTGAAATATCCCCTCCCGCCTGCTCGCGTTCGATCATCCTCTCGTACCCCCCAATAACGCGACGATGTCGACCCCGGAAGTTGAGAAAGCACCCTCAGCGGAAGACGAGGGTCGGATCTCGAAGGATGTCGAGGCTCACATTTCCGTCAGGCTCGACGATGGAGATGAAGCCCTCAAGATCGTTCTGGAAGAAGAGGGGAGCGTGAGCATGACTCCGGAAGAAGAGGCAGCGCTCTTGCGGAAGATCGACTGGCACATACTCCCATTGCTCTGTATTGTGTACGGTTTGGTGCGTACCTTTCCGATTTCAATGCATGAACATATCTGATTCAACGTGCGCAGCAATACTGGGATAAGACGACCCTCTCATACAGCTCCATCATGGGAATCCAGACGGCGACCCATCTTGTGGGACAGCAATACAGCTGGCTCGGCTCAATCTTCTACTTCGGCTATCTCGCATTTGAGTACCCCACGAATCGTTTGTTGCAACGTCTCCCTTTGGCGAAGTTTACGGCGTTCAACATCGTCGTGTGTATGCACAATCATTGGCTCTGACACCGCCTGATGTCATGCGTAGGTGTGGGGCATTGTCCTTGCGTGCATGGCTGGGACGACCAACTTCGCGGGATTGATGGTTGTTCGCTTCTTTCTTGGCGTCTTCGAGGCTGTATGTGTCCTTTATTTCTTGACCCTTGAGTTGCTCATCACCATTATAGTCCGTCTCACCAGGATTCGCGTTACTCATGTCGCAGTGGTATCGAGTCAACGAGCAGGGAGTCCGCACTGGGCTCTGGTTCTCTTTCAACGGCTTTGCTATCATCTTTGGCGGTCTCGTTGCCTGTGTGTACTGCTTTCGAATGCGCATTTCCCCACGCTTATCTGGTTCACAGATGCACTAGCGAAAGATGATCAGGCCCACGAACTTTCCATTGCGGGCTGGAAAGCCGTCTTCGTTATTGCCGGCTGTTTGACTATCGCCTTTGGCGTGGTTCTATATCTTGTCATGCCAGATTCTCCATTAACCGCACGATGGCTGACGCCCCGGGAGAAGACAATGGTAATAGAGCGCATACGTGGGAACAACCAAGGCGTTGGCAACAAGAAGTTCAAACTTCACCAGTTCATAGAGGCTTTCATGGATATTAAGGTATGTGCCATCACTAAGTATTTGCAATTTCAGCTGATGGCCATCAGACATGGCTGTTCGTGGCTTTCAGTTTGATTGCCGATATACCCAACGGTGGTCTCTCAAAGTAAGTCGTGTAGTTCACCAAAGACCCCGGGCGGCATATTTACTTTTGCTTAGCTTCTTTTCCCTCATCATTACGTCTTTTGGGTGTGAGTGCATCTCAGCTCCAAACAACCTTCCTGCTTATGCTTTACTCCAGTCACAGCGCAACAATCCCTTCTTTACGGGTGCCCGGCCGGTGCTGTTGAGGTCATTACAATTATTGGGTTCTTATGGCTTGGCGATAAGTTTAATGCACGATTGCTCTTCGCGGCTGTCAGCGAAACTAGTAGGCTAGGGTCACCTGGAGCAAATCCTCGTTCTAACGACTTTTTTAGTCTCTCTACTTGGCATCGTCTTGATATACGCCCTTCCGACGAGCATGAAGGTCGGGCGTCTGTTCGGCTATTACTTAACTGGAGCCTCGGCCACCGGCATCGTCACGATTTTGTCCCTCATCTCCAGCAATGTCGCTGGCTACACAAAGAAGACAACTGTCGCAGCCCTGTATCTCATCTTCTACTGTGTCGGCAACCTGATCGGTCCCCAAGTGTTCCAAGCGAAAGATGCACCACGATACACACCTGCTCTCATTACCATTGTCGTCTGCTTTTCACTGTGTATCCTCATTCTCCTTGCAATCTGGTACATCAATCATCGCGAGAACATTCGCCGCGATGAGATGAAGAGCAGAGGAGAATACGTGCATGTACCGAATCAGGAATTCCTGTGAGTTCACATGAGTACTTTACCGATCCAACCTGATCACCTGGTAGTGATCAAACAGACTTGGAAAACAAAGCATTCCGCTATCGGTGCTAATTTGAGGTGCCTTGTTAGAATACGGTATGGATAAGATGTAGTAGTGGTGTGACATTCCTGACTATTTGATACAATTGTGAAGAGTGATAGGCCGAGTGATTTCAATCATACACCGTTAAGCCCGCATAGCTCTTACCCGACAGGACTCTCTTCATCTTGTCGGCAGGCTCTTCTTTCTTTTTTCCAGGTTTTTGAAGCTCAACATCCGCATCATCCCACTGAGCGTCTTGTTCCGCATGCTCCGCCTGAACCGGTTCCGCATCCGCCTCATCCCCCGCCTGCCCGATGAATGCCTTCAACATACTGCCTGAAAACCCACTCATAAGGCTCACACCGCTTTCACTGTTGTTCACCGGCGCCGCGAGCCCCATTCCTTCGTTGTAGCGTCCACCTGCGAGATTCCAGTACACCAGTTCAGGGAGGTCGTATCCTTCACGTTCAAACTCCAGCTTCAAGGTCTGGTGGACCGTCTCCCACGCGCCGTGCAGATTTCGGTGATACTGGGCGGAATCGAACTGCATGTCACTGAATACAAACACGCGTTTGACCATCTGGTCTTTGGCCAGCTTGTGCCGTTTGGCAGTAGGCAGGAGGAGGTAACGGAAGACAGAGGCAAAGTTGGTGTTTTGGCCCCAATCAGCTGTGGACATAGCGCTGGCGATTTCTGCCAATGACGCTGCTGAACCATCCGGGCTCTTTGCCTGTAGCTCGACCAGGTTGGGGTGGGCAGAGAAAGTGATGAACATGTTCTTCCAAGGCGGAGATGCGATTTGAGCAACCAAAATACTCAGGGCAAGAGCGGGAAAGATTGGCTGAACTGAGAGTGATTTATTGAACTGCCCGTTTTTGACGTAGTTGGCAGCAGAGTACACACTGCCCATAGAGCCGGACACGTCACAGACGGCGATGCAGTTATCCAGTGCACCGAGAGAGGTGATGTGCTCCATCATCGAACTCCACTGCGCGTCATAGATACCGCTGTACAACTTGCCAATAGATTCCTTCATGGTGCGCTCATACCGTGCCTTGACCATCTTTCCCATAGCGCGGCGTCCGCTCGCACTTGGACGATATGCCTCTCCCACATCTACGGCATTGCCAACCATGGCGCTGATGAGGATCTCGTGCGGGAGCAGGGAAGAACCGCTGAGGGTACGTGCCCCTTTGCCGACGGCTTCCAGGTGGTGCACGAATCGCTGAGGATCATGGTACCAGAACAGAGACTTGTTGGATGTGAAACACACGGCCGGTACCTGCGGATAGGAGATCTTGTCCCACTTCCCTGGGTGCATCTTGGATTCCGGAACAGCAAGAAAATCGCGCAGTGGGGTGAGAACAAATCGCCTCAACATGTTGCGAGCTTTGATGATTTGCTCCTCCTGGTCTGATGACCCGGGTTGTCCGTGATTTGGGAAGAGGATTTGCGCGATAGCCGATGTCATGAGGAATTGACGATCAAACGTCTTACCCGTCGAAGGTGCCCATTTTCCGGCCAGAGAGATGGTATTGCTCAGCTTCCGAATTTGACTTGCTATGTCGGGGTTTCCGGCACTGGTCTTGCGAAGTCGGACGATTTCGACAAGAGTACTGATGTCATGCGCCAAGACATCCGCAAAAAGACGAGCCACTGTGACGTAGATTGATCGGAACTTGGGATCTGAGTTTAGCTTCTCTTCCAAAGCCAAGCTCATCTTCCGGCGTTGCTCATGACGACGATCTTTGGCTTTTGCTTGCCATTCCTGAAGGTGCATCTGGGCCATTTGTTGAACAAGCTGAGCATGTTCTTCTCGAGCCGCAGGTGAGTCTTCGGCTGGCGTTTCGCGGTCAGCAACGGTCATAGGGTGGTTGCAGTCTGCATGATCTGCTCGGAATACGGGGGCTGGTCCGAAGGCGCTCTTTAGGATGTCCGGAGTCATCTGCGGATTTCCCAGCTGGTCGTGGAAGGCGAGAGAGACGACACTGAGCAGATCTTTCCAACAGCCATGGGATCGCGCCGGGCGCTCAAGGAATTCTTCATTGGATGTCTTGTCTGGCTCTGACTGCATTTCGAGCTTGGCTTGCTCCCATTTTTTCTTTGCGGCAACGTTCCTCGGATCGTCGCATATCTTCGCCACAAGCTGGTCGAGGTTTGCAATAGCAGTGATAGGATGCTCGCGATAAAGCCAACCAAACGCATGGAAGAAGACATTGAGAGCGTTTTTCCCCTCGTGAATGGAGCGCAGATTGAAGATGAGACGGAGTGTCATGCTGGGATCCTGCGCCCATGCCTCGGTCAAGCGATTGTACACCTCCTGCCCTGAAGAGCACTGGGCAATTCCGAAGAATGCATCCAGAACGGCGTCACTTGTGCTGGCATATGCACCTGCGTCGTTTGTGGTCCAAGTGCGATTGTCAGGATCCGTGAACAGCTGTCCCTTGTGGGAGTCGGAGCGCAGAGCATCAGCCAGAGAAATTGTAGCCGATACCTCCGAAGGGGGAACGGAGTCGATAGGTGCAACACGAGTCGAGTGACGTAACTTCGGAATATATTCAGGATCGAGTAGATCATTCAAGATGCTAGTCGGTAGAAGAACGGTGGCAGAAGACTTCGCAGGGTTGCAGTTCGGATTATGCACGGAGGTGGTCGGAGGAAAGGCATCCGCAAGGATTCGGAGGTCGAGAGCGATGGGTTTGGCCATGATGATCGGACTGCGAACAGTTGAAGTGCCTACGGAGGAGAATGGGCGTGGATACTTATAGACAGACACGAGGTGGGCGCTTGGGGCACATCGGAAGCATTGCGACAGGGTTCTGGTCATTATGACTCGCTGCCACCGCACTGTCAGTGTGACTCCAACTCTCGTGATTCGGTAGTCAAGGTACAAATCAATTTGACGCGCTGTATGATCCATTTACACGTCAGGAGAGGGTTATTTTACGTCAGGATTTCTGATAGTCTCACCAAGTAAAGAAATCAAGTGACGGAGAATCTTCCTCGTCCTCTCCTTCCCGAATCAGAGCACATCGTCTAGTATATGTACATGTGAGCCTTCCCCTTCAAGTATCGACCTGTACGGAGTCAAAAGGACTTGAGCTCTGAAGAGACGGTAGATCGTCGCATGTGCTGGAGACTGCAGGTACTCAAACAGGCTGACTCTATTTTCAGGGCCAGTTTCATATGTTCCCGGCACGGGATCTGTCTGTGACACGTGGAAAAGAATGAATTCCTCTTCCTCGGGGCAAGTTCGCGATTCTATTTTCCTCCATAACCCCGCTTCCTAAACAAACTGGATTTCAAAAATACTGTTCGCGTATCCTTCAGATCAAGCAGATGGCGCTCGTCTACTGCGATAATCCTGACATGCTCATTTCGCAAGGCTGGCAACGTCATGCTGCACGACTGCCTCCTGCTGATTTCCATCGACGTTTCTGAGTGGTTCAATCAGCCGATTTATCACCTAGTCGTCAAGACTCAATTACGATATGCTCGCGCTACCATTATGAAAGAATTCCCTTTATTTCCGCGTGGGTGTTCACACGCTGCGTGAAGCCTGCCTTGTGAACAATAGAAATCGGGTCTTCTTCTAGGTTGCCTCGATAGCATCAAGTCGCTTTGGCCTTTCTGACACCAGATAGACCACATAGATCGGGCATTTCCTCCACCCATCCTGCGCTATTTCCGCCATAGCCCGCTTAACAGTCTGCCCACAGCCGAAGGAAACACTCTCCGCTGCGGGGATAGATCGGAGAGAAGTGTCGCGTCTTCCAGAACGACTGGTGTGGCCTCTTCAAATGGTATACGTGTCACACTCTGTAGGTGTAACGCGCTTGCATTAGGCTGTTTGCCGAGATCTGCTGCCCAAGCCCCTGTAACGCCCCTGAAGGCCAAAGGGTTCCCGATGCGGGCTTTATCTGTATTGGCGATACGAATGCAACGAATGTATGCCGACGTTTATTTAGTGATGATCGATAACTCGGAAACCGACTGCATCATGGACGTGGATTGGGCCAAGGCCAGCCTCGTTGTGTCTGAGATGCAGTAAAGCTGCGGACATGTCAGTGATGGCTAACTTCTGGATCAGGTGCGTTTCGTGTGTTCCTTGAAATTCGTCTTCCCTCCGAGCTACTGGATAATGGTGTATTGTAGGATCAGGCGGACTTCTGCTCCTGCTCCGATCTCACATTGACGTCTTTGTGCTCGACTATCAATGCCATTGTTTCTACATCCGGGTACGTCAGTCGATCTCCGACCCTCGACATCTCCCCCAGGCTTCGTCATCGGAACGTGTGGTATGGGCACGGTTTCCGCAAGTCTCCATGCCAGGATTCACTGGTGCACCTCATTGTCTGCGGTATTATGGAGGACGACGATCCTCAAACACATCGAGGATACGTATCACTTTTCTGAATGAGATGATATGTGGGTATTGTTCGATCTCTACTTAAAGGCTGTCTCTAGATCATCTGAGATCCCCAGACTAACCTGGAATTCTTTACCGTTCCGTCCGGTCCGCAAACCTGTCTTCAATCTTTCAGATCATGGTGCTGACCTCCATTCAGCTATCTGAACAACGAGACGAGTCAACGGGCAGACACTACCTGGTACTTTGATGGATCGATTGTACATCGCGTTATATCCCGGAACTCCGCCAGTCTATAAACTCCTTATATACAATCCCGGTGACGATGCCGCAGCAATCGGTACTATTTTCGGCGCCGTGGGAGGCGCCAGGTGGACCTATAAATGCGAGATCAAGACATCATCTCCATTTAGCCGGTTCCTGATTGCCGAGTTTGCAACAAGCGCAGTGAATACACAGTGGATGGATGATATTCTGCGTGGCGTGAGCCTCGCTGGTGTTCGATACACTGAAGAATGGGTCTGGGCGGCCTTAGACCGTCTGCAAGGGCGAGGATTTGGGATTCCGGGTCGTGATGCAGCGAGGCAAAAAGTTCTGCAGTTCCTCGGGAGGCGGCCTTATCCCCAGAGTTCGACGGTTACTGAAGACATACGGGTCTAGGTAGATCAGATGTACTTCGGAGAATATCTGTCGTATTGCCGCGAGTTCTTGTCCTTACAATTTCCTTCAATAGATAGGCCTAGACTTCATGTTTGAAGGGCGATGTTGCGCATCTGTTGGCGTTTGCGTGGGCCATTAAGTCAAAAATCCCTCCATAGTTCTATATATATCCTCTGAGCTGCATCTTGTCCATATCACTGTCCTTGGATATCTCGTATACTCTTCTGGTCCTTGCATATCTTCATATCCTGCGCAGATGTTGTCATACCCTTACCGAACTTTGTGATTTAGACTTGATCATGCAGCAAGATAATCACTTAAGAACAGGCGTCTGCCGATGGGTAAAAGGAAACTGTCTGGACCACTCGCACGTCTTTTATCTCGTCTGGCTGTCCCGCAATCCAGATTTACTTGACGGTCTATCGGGTAGAGAACATTAGACGTTGCTGGCAGGCGAACCAAAACTGCACAGGTGGTAGCGACTCTTTCCAAATCATAACAAGATGTTCGTCAAATAACATCGGGATGACCAGTTGCCCCTTAAACTGATGTACTACATTACGAAGCCCGAGGGAAACGTTCAGCAGTCGACGCTGCAACCTGACCACCTTACACTGATAGTGGGCAAAATCCGGGTGGCCAAAGATTTGACATGACGCGAAGATAGGAAACCCCATGCAAGATTCGAGCCAGGCGTTTGTGGTGCAGGTCAACCGGGCTCTAAATCCCATCTCGGGAGGGGTGAATTCCAATCGAGAGAGTCCAATCCTCTAGACGAGTTCTGATGGCCTTGGCAAGGAGTTGTGTGGGCCACTGGTGTACTCTACACCTCCCAATGAAGCGTCAGGAGTAAGTCCGCTGGAGGGGGGGTTGACAGTAGTAGCCCGAGCGTAGAGGATAGTAGTCCGTAGGCGTAGTTCCTGCCGGATCGAAGATGGTTTCGAAGGAGCGACTGGTCCGAAGACCGGTTCGAGGGTTCAATATCCGTTCCGAATCCCCAGAACCAGGAGCGTAGCCAATGCCCACCGAAAGCGCTAGCAGCGAAAACGACCGTCCGAAGCGAGTGAGCTCTGTCCAGGGAACTCGAAGGGCGGAATAGCGAGCGATTCGGAGCGTCGTTCGAAGATCCGAACGGGTATTTGGATTGAAAGAACCAGGGAGTAAGAGTAATGATTGACTGTAGGATATAGGTGTGGTGTGTGTAAAGGTAAGGTGTTTGAGCTAACCAAAGTCGAAGAAGAGTCCCTATCCGAAGTACTCGAATCCTCCTTATATATGTTCGAAGCGGTTCGGACTTTCGGACTAACTCTAACTCTATTCCTAATCTATATTACCGAAAGCTGTGTACAGGGTCCGTTCTTCCTTCCAATGTGTTCTCATAGTCCTTTCCGACCCCGTTCGGAATGTCGTTCGGAGCGTCGTTCGAATGTCGAATCCGACCTCGAAATTCGAATGTGCAGCACACTAGACGGGGTGCAAGTCGGACTCTTTGGATACGGGCTTCTTCCGGTGATACCATTTCATCGGCTTGCCAAGTGGAACAGATGAGACACGAGTACGCCCATACATGCCAGTACGACCAAAGCCCATCTTGTTCAATGACAGCACCGCTAGAGCAGGCTCAGGAAATGCAAGGAAGCAGGGAGAAACCAAAACGATGTGATTAGTCCAAGATATACGAGCGAGGTGCATACAGCTAGGTCAAGCGTGGTGAAAACGAGTGTGGGCTGAGGGAAAAATTGTCAGAGTCCTTTATGCTTTGAGGTGAAGAAAAACAACTTGAACAACAACAATTCAAGAAATAGGGCTTAGAAGGGAGTTCGGTGCTAGGCGGGAAAGGAGTGATGTGCGAGAGCCGGAATGACCGATGTGTGGGTAGAGAGCAGGATCCAGAGCCAGAGGGGAAAACGAGAAGGAAAGAGCGTCTCACGCGGATCTGATCATAGGCGGCGGAGTAGGCACCGCCCTCTCCCCCACGTCCATCTCCAGGCCGCGCCTCGTCACGCCCGTAGGCTGGCACTGTGCCGTCGGGGGGATAGTCGCGCTCTCCGCATCCCAAGGATTCGGGTACGCACACCCGACAATAGGCACATAGTACCCCGCTGTATCGTCTGCATTTGCCCAGCCGTTCCCGGCATCAGCAGTTTGCGTGCTCGAAGGTGTGGTAAACGTCGGTCCGGGGAGGGTGATCACTCCTCCCGTAGGGACGTACTGTGGGAGGAGGGCGACAGAGGCCGGGGGGAGGTAAGACAGCCCCGCGGCAGAGTTCATTGATATTATTGGCCAGTGAGAGAAGCTCGCCAGCTGGTCAGCAGCGATCGTCCCCGCACCCACACCGCCCGTTTGCCAGCTCTGGAGTCCCGCAGTCGGGGAAGGCATCGACACGTCTGCCGAGAGGGCGCAGAAGTCGACCGCGTCCCTCGGGTCGAGAGGGATCCAGCCGTGCTGAAGCCCGAGGCTGTAGGACCATGAGGGGGACTCGATGTTGCCCGTTACGGAGGAGTTGCCGATCTTCCAGGTCCAGAAGAACCAGTGCTGGAGCGCGTCCATGCTCGCCATGACTACTTCCTTGGTCTGCTGGATAGTGGTCGGCGACCAGCTGCCGTACTCTGTCCACTGGTCACAACTCCCAATGACAGTCGTCGTGCCCGGATACGTGCCTTCATACCGCGTGCCAAGGCCAACCCCGTTCACCCATTTCCCACAATCGTTTACAGCAGCACTCCATTCCCCAGCATGGGAGAACCCGAACTGGTCCATGCTCTGATTCAACGCGGGACCCCAGCCCGTGCACGGGCTCGGGATGTAGCTGGACAGAGGGGCGTTGCTCGCGTCGTTGAATGCATTGTATGGATGAGTGTCCATGGCGATCCTGTCCGAGCCTTGGAGGAAACTGGCCCATTGCTGCATACCGATGAACCCGTCGTGGATGCCTATGAACGGGCCGTTCCCCTGCCCCAGACCGGTGATGTTCCGGATCATGGTGTATGCTTCGAGGTAGAAAGTCTGCATCTGCGGCTGGCCGATCGTGTCTACCAAAGCCTCGTTCACGACGCCGAAGTACTGTACGACCTGGGAGTACTCGGGCTGGGAGACGAACTCTGCCAAGGTGCGGATATATGCTAGTGCGCGCTGGGCATTTGCGATGCCCATGACGCCGAAGAGGAAGTTGACTGGCCCCAGTTTGCCAGAATGGTTCCACCCGTTCTGGGAGCCGGGGATAGTGTGCAGATCCATGTTGATTCGCAGCCCGTACTTGCGTGCCCATTGGATGGCTTTGAGGAAATACTGCCATGCGAGATGCGGGACGAAGGGCTCCCCGGGGTAGACCTCGATCGCCCAGTAGGGTATGGGAATGCGCACCCAGTTAAGCCCCGCAGCGGCGATAGCGGCAAAGTCGTCTTCCGTCTATATGCACCAGACGCTCAGCACCGCCCAGCTTCGGGGAAGAAGAGACTCACAATGAAAGTGCTGTAATGCGCGTCCAGCATGGCGGTCGCGTTCCCTGTTTTGTTCATAGCGACCGTAAGTGTCCACTCGTCTACAGCGTTGTAAGGCGGGGCGAAGTCTCCAGTCTGATATGGCTCATACAGCGCCGGTACGATGAACGGCTCCGTGACGAGCCATCCTCCCAGGTTCACGCTATCCCAACTCAGCGGGTCACTCAACAGTACATAAAGGAGACTTACCCGCGAATTTGGTCAACTCCCCATCTCCAGGTCTCGTTCAGCCTCGGGGTCCATTCGTTGGCCTGTGCCCCGCCGACAAAGGGGTTCGAAGGATCAAAGTACCACGTCCCGCCGAACGCGTTCGTGTAGACAAACGTACTCCCATCGTCGCGGGTGACCGTGCTCCCATCGCCGCCGGTGATCGCGCCCGTGAACGCCGGCGCGGGGGTGGCGCCGTTCCCACCACCATTCCCGTTCCCGCCGGTACTGCCGTTATTCCCGCTAGTCCCCCCGGTGCCGGAATCGCTCGCGGTCGACCCAGAGCTCGAATTCTGGTGCGGCTTGATGAGCAGGAAGTAGACGGGGATGATGACCGCGAGCGCGATGATGCACAGGATGATCAATATCCCCCAGAACCAGAGCCAGCCCCGTTTCTTCCTTACTTCCGGATAGGTTTTCTCGCTCATCCCTCCCGCAGGGTACCCGCGAGCGGGGGCGTACCCCTCCCCGTACTGAGCCCCGGAAAGCGTGTCCCCGTCTAGGTCGCTCCTGTTTGCTCCAAGGGGGATCATAGGCGTGCCAGGCTTGCTCCCTTCGTCGTAGTACGGTGTCCTATCTCCTGGATCGTCTCTGTACCCAGGTCCAGGAGCGGGATAAGCAAGCCCGGAGGGGTTGAGTACGCGGGTCGAGCCCGCGTAGTCGGAATTCCGGTATGCGGGGTGGGAAGGGTAGCCGTACTGCCCAAGAGAGGAAGCGATGCTATCCCTCGCTGCTCCCATCTGAGGTGGTACCATCCCGCTGACGTTGAACGTCGAGCGAGGAGGAGGATCACGGTCGAGGTCGAGGTCGAGGGAATCGGAGTACTGACGCTCATGTTGCGGTGAGTATGGTCCAGGGGGAACGAGTGGTGCTGTGGGCGCTATTGGTGTTGTTGGAGATGGAGGGGGCAGATTGGGAGACATTGACGAGTAGCCAGATTGTCGGCGGGTGTGTACGGGCACAGAAGTGTATTGACCTGGTGCGGACATGGTGGTCGGTGTTGAAGGTTGAACAAGTGTTGATTGATTGTTGATTCAACACGACTCCACCACGCGTTGCCAAGAAAGGAAAGAAGGAATAAAGCTGAAATTGTAAGAAGAATGAACGTCAATTCCCTACCCCCAGAAATATCCGAGGGAATGCACTGGACAGAGGACAACGACAGAGACAGGGCGGGGGGAAAGAAGTGAATGAAGAGGCCAATGAATGGAACGACTACAACGCCCGCCATCGGATCATGAAAATAACACCGTACGACTTCTGTCCGCCATCGCACAGCTATTAATGGATGATGTCACTTTTAGGTAATATACATTGTCACTTATTTTAATATTAATATACTAATAATACATAGTATTAGATATCATTTCCAAGCACACCAAGAAAATCGACAAGACCAGACAGTACAGCACCCTCTAATTTCTCCCCCATCAGACGCGCCCCACTTTTCCACCACGCCAGAAAAGTCAGAAGCGCAAGCACAGCCACGTCTAGTCGCCCAGACGACATGACGTGACCCATCGGAAAGGAAGCTTAGGCCCTGTGCCAAGCCTTTTCTCTCTTCCGCGCGCCCTTGCTTGTTAACGTTCCGCCTCATCGTCTGTACAAAAGCTGCCAGAGACTGTGCGTTCCCTGCCAAGCTACGAGGCGTAAACAATGAGGTACTACCGCACACCGGCACTAGTACTAGCACAAGACGAGCGTATCGCATTCCTTGCAACACGGAAATACCGGCGCGTTGTCCCTCCGCTGCCACCGGATATGGAACTTGCATGAGACCCATTGTTGTGGTTTTGTGATTGATGGCATCCCTCTTCTGGCTTTTCTCAGAGAACAGCAGCATAAGCAAGTAGATCATAGCTGCTATGTTCCTTGAACTTATACTGGCAGCAAACGGTCTTTCATCCCCCAGCTCAAACTACCACACATTCTTCTCGAGCATCCTTAGTCAACTAAACCGCGCGAGATGTAGCTACTTCAGCGTATGGAGAAGCTCACAGCCTCGCTTGCCCCTTGTGCGACTTGGCCGGCTCGCCCAGAGCGTACAGAGCGTTGATCTCCTTCCTGTATCTCGTGACTGCCGCCGCTCTGTGCACAAGTCAGTAACGTCTCAACCCAACAGGAAAGGGGAAATGAACTCCAAACACAGGAGAACAGAAAGCGATTCACACCATCAAAGCCACTCACCGTTTGATCTTGAGCGTGGACGCTAGGAGGCCATTCTCGATCGTGAATGGTTCCAGGGCCAAAACGACTCTTTTCACACTCTCGAACCTGTCAATACCGTCACTGCCGCCTTCTCCCCTCACGCATGATGCAGACGCACCCTTTGAGCCGCTCATGCGAAGCTTGGGCGATCATTTGCTCAAGTACTCTCCCTACGACGGAGGCGTCCCCCGCTGCCTGGAGCAGAGCAGGCTCGTCTGTGTGAGCTACTCCCTTTCCCCATACCTCGCCAGCAAGGGCAGCCAGCGCCGCCCGGTCAGCAATGACCACCGCCACCACGTAACTCTCCTTCCCCTCCCCGTGCACGAATATCTGGGACACGATCGGCAGCGTGCTATACGCTGCTTCTACCTTCTCTAGCGCGACGTATTCCCCCTGCGACAGCTTGACGATGTTCTTAATCCGGTCCATGATGCGCAATCTTCCTCGGAAATCGAAGGATCCGATATCCCCAGTGTGGAGCCATCCGTCGGCGTCAATGGTCTGCCTGGTAAGCTCCTCGTCTGCCAACGGTCAGCCCCGGGCGAAGCAGACAGGGGAGTGCATACCCTTGTAGTACTGCTTGGTAACACAGGTCCCACGAATGCACACCTCGCCCCTCGGGTCTGGCTTGTCCTCAGCTCTGTAGCCCATCTCAGGCACAGAGACAAGCTTGATCTCCATAGCTGGTAAAGGCCAGCCCACGAAACCGCCAGGCAACGGGTCCCCTTCAAAGCTCCTCGTTGCTGCCCCTGCGCTCTCTGTCATCCCGTATCCCTGGAGCACCTGAGCGGACAGAACAACCTTGACGAAATCGATCACTTCGCCCGAAATGGGCGCTGCGCCTAGAGGTATATAGCGCAGGTTTCCCCCTAGGAGAGCGGCGATCTTCCGGAAGACGAGGGCATCCCACACTGCGTGCTTGACGGTGCCTGTCGAGTGAAGATTGGCGAGCTTCACTTTGAGCCCATGTCGCAATAAGTCCCCGCTGAACCCTGGTGCGCGGACCACAGGCTGCATGACTCCGTACAGACGGTTCAGGATGCGGGGGACGACGGTCATGGCGAATGGCTTGAGGATGCGGCAGTCTTCCAGCAACCGGAGAGGGTTGCCGGTCGAATACCCCACTGCGAGACCCAGGGCAGTGACGGTCTGGTCCATCGCGTGCTGTGCTGCTGTGAGTCACTGCATCGTAATTGACCGAGAGAGCATACAGCATATACGTGCGCGAGCGGCAAGCAAGAGCAATAGACTGCGTTTGGCGGAAGGTCTGGCATGGCGCCTATGAGCCAGCTATAGACGCAGCACACGAGGTTCTCATGCGTGAGCACCACGCCTTGAACTGTTTGAGCGGAGCGTATTATCGCAAGACAAGTTGCTGACCTTTCGGCATCCCGGTAGTACCTGAAGTATACGAGATGCTTGCAATATCCTTCGGCTTGGGGTATCGAGTTCCTCTTGGGTGGTCGCTGCCAAGTTGTTCCACTGCAAACCATGTAAGCGGCAGAGGAAAATACAAGCAGAACACACTCACGTTGTCTCAGAGACATCACCTTGACGCCCTTCTCCTGTGCCCAAGTCTCGAAAGAAGCAAGCGTGGTAGGCTTATGATCGTCCATGCAGATGGCTATCCTCAAGCACGGACATTTTCCCCGGCCCAACGCCAGGACTTCCTGCAAATGTTCTTCGGAAACGAACACGAGCTGAATTGCGGCATGGTTGATGACGTATTCTGTCAATGAGACGTTGAGAACATGGGTTGGGAATGCACGACGAGAAGCCCACCACAAGCATCGTGCCCCAAAGTGTCGTAGAGTGCGACATTGACCCGACTGAACGACATCAGCCCCTGATCTATCAACTGCCATTCTTCGTCGACCTTGTCAACATCTCGTCCACAAGCATGGTATAAGCACGTACCTGGACAATTCTTGCTCCATATCCCAACTGTCTCAAGACCCTGGTCGTTCTTCCCCAAAAGCCCTGCCTCGTATAACAATTCAATACCGCTCCCTATATCCTTCACCCGTCTCGCGCCCTCTGCGTAGGTCATCCATTCGTACTCCGTTCCGTACTCTACAGGCGTGTCGAGCGTTGCGGGCTTGACGATCGGAAGCCTGCCTAGCCAACGGTAATTCTGGGGATAGCGGGCAAGCGCGTCGTCAAGGATCTCGGGCACAGTCTTCCACGGCAGGTCGGGGGAATCCATCGTCAATAGCTCGGGATGTAACGCAGCGCGATAGTGTCCTGCTTGTACGTTACTATCTTGGTCAAGCTGCGTTTGCCAAGTCAATCGTACCGGTCTGGCCAGGCTTCCGTGTGAACGGCGCTTCAATGGCCTGTCTATCGAAGTCGACAACACGGGGATTAGGGACAAGTATTCTACTTGAGGACATCGTCGAGCTCAGGCAATGGTGAGGGATAAAGGTGAGCAGATCCTAGGACAGTGGTCGTGCAGTCGTCGACTAATAACGAGATTTGTACCCTACAGAAGAAACCCAACCGCAACACCGGTAGTCGTTCATATGGAATGTCTCCAGGGGCCGGGAACGACTTAGCGCCGAACCGCCCCTGAAAAAAGGCATGCGCATGATCTGACCCCCTAACGATTGATGCGGCAATCTGATCGGTAACCATCATAACAGGGGCAATACATACCCACAACTTCTTCACAGGTTGATTATGAAGAGTCGCCGATCCAGAGAGAATTAGAATCAGGGGAAGTTTCGGACCCTGGTCAGGAGATTTCGATCATGTCAGAGGAAAGCAATGGTTTCGGAGGGTTTCAGGCTTACATAACCCGGGGAATTAGTAAGTGCGGCTCCGGTAAAGGCATAGACGCAATGCAAGCACACACGAGGGAGGTATTTAAATGCTCCTCGCCGGAGGCCACTCTCCACAAGTACTCACCGCGGCGAGAGAATATAAATCCCCATGAGCGCAGGTGTCTGTTGAAATCCGGGTATATAAGACCACCCGAGAGCACAGATGCACACCTGCTCGGTCTGCCGTACAAACGACGCGGATATCCATTATCGTGTCATATCCTATCTTCTCTTTCTACAACTTCCTAGTCTCTCCCTTCACGCATCTGGCGTTCCCGGGCGCCGCCAACCGAGGCGAGGAACTATAACCTAGCCTTGTCCTCCTCTCTCGGCTTTGGACTCCCCAGCGCATAGAGCGCATCGATCTCCTTCCTATACCTCTTGTACGCCTCCCTCCGCTTCAGCTTGAGCGTAGCGGTCAGGATCCCATTATCGATCGTGAACGGCTCGAGGGAGATATGTATCCGCTTGACGATCTCGAACCTTCACCAACGCAACCAAGTCAGCAAAGTCAACTCGCGCGGATGGTTCAAAGAGGACGCACCCCTTCAGCCCTTCCTTCTTCGCTTCCCTGATCATAAGCCCCAAAAGCGCATCCACGACCCGCTCATCCCCGCTCGCGTCGTCCATCGCCGCCCTGTCTTTCTCGGACACAGGCTTGCTCAGCACCTTACTCGCGAACGGGGCGAACAGGACCGGATCGGGCACGACGACAGCGACGACGTAGTCCTGCGTTCCTTCGCCATAGACCCAGACCTGGGAGATGAGAGGGATGGTCGAGTATGCCGACTCGACTCTCTCGAGGGCGACATACTCCCCTTGGGAGAGCTTCATGATATTCTTCCGGCACGTTAGTACGTTCTTCAGTGAAGACGAGGGGATGGGACGTACCTTAACACGGTCGATGATCGACAACCGACCATACTTGTCTATTATCGCCACGTCACCCGAATGCAGCCAGCCCTCATCGTCAACAGTCGCCTTGGTGCTCTCTGGATCTATTCCGAAATCAGCACACGCCACATAACGCCCAACGGACAGCTCACCCTTATAATACTCCCTGAAGCAGTTGGGACCCCGCATTAAGAGCTCTCCCCTCGGCTCAGGGACGTCCGTCAGGTACCCCATCTGGGGCACGTCGATCAGTTTTATCTCGTTCGCCGGTGACGGGCCTCCAACAGTGCCTCCCGGCAAAGGGTCGGACGTGAAATTGTGACACGCCGTACCGCAGTTCTCGGTCATCCCGTACCCCTGTACCATCTCGACGCCAAAGACGACTTTGAACCAATCGAGTACTTCGCCCGATATGGGCGCTGCGCCGGAGGTGATCACCTCTATCTTCCCGCCTAACAGTGCGCGGAGTTTGTTGAACACCAGCCGGTCCCAGACAGCGTGCTTCACCTGCCCTGTCGTGTGCAGCTTCTGCAGCTTCACAGAGATCGCGTGCTGCACCATCGCTCCCTTCAGCCCGCCCTTCAGGACAGGGTTGACGGCGTTGTAGATCCTGTTCAGCACACGGGGGACAGCGATGAAGCATTGCGGCTCGCATAGCCGCATATCTTCAAGTAACCGGAGGACGTCACCCGTCGAGTACCCGATCGCCATCCCCATGGTTATTGCGATCTGCTCGTGCACGCGCTGTGGGACTGTCAGTCCTGCGCTTGGATAAAGGCGCATATACGCACCCCGTATATATGCGCCAAAGGGAGGAAGCTGAACATCGCTGCGTTGTTCGAGTTCTTCATAAAGGGGCCCAGACAATGGCTGTACACGGACAGGGCGAGGTTGGCATGGGTGAGCACGACCCCTTTCGGGTTGCCTGTAGTGCCCGAGGTGTACGAGATGATGGCGACGGTCGAAGGGGTCGGGTAGCGCATAGGGCGCGGATGATCCTTACCCAACTTGTACACTTGGAAAGATGAGCTCGCGCCCCGACTCGAAAGGCTCTGCAACTCACCCTCGCTGAGCAACATGACCTTGACCCCTTTTTCCCTGCCCCAAGACTCGAACATCCCCCACGCGACCGGCTCGAGCTCGTCAAGACTCACGACGACCTTGAGGGAGAGACAGCGACCGCTCCCCTCGGGCCCTGCAAGAGCCAAGAGGTCCCTTATATGCGCCGCGGTGGTGAACGCAAGCTGAATACCGGCATGGTTGATGATGTATTCTATTACACGATCAGCACTTCACGACCCGGGAGGAAGACGGGGAAACGCACCACACGCATCCCTCCCCAGAGTGTCGTACAAGCTTACGCTCACTCTCGAGTAACTCAGCAGCGCATAATCGACAATCTGCCATTCGGGCCTATTGATGCTCCATATCCCCACTGTCTGGAGTCCCTCAGGATTCGAGCCCAGGAGTCCCTCCTCGTAGAGCCTATCCACGCCAGCTCCGAGCTGTTGACGCAGCGCGTTCCCCTCGGCGTAGGTGATCCAGGAATAGGCGCTCGCGTAGATCGAAGGAGTGTCGTGCGTCGCTGGCTGGAGGACGGGAAGGTGGCCAAACAAGCGGTAGTCGTCCGGGTAATGAGCACGGGCATAGTCTAGGATCTCGGGGATGGTGGTGTACGGCACCCCAGGGAGGGAGGTAGTGATCAGGTCCGGATGCGCGGAGTTCCTGTAGTGTCCTGGAGCAAGTCAACACTGGATGGAGAAAGGAAGAGGACGTACGCACCTGTCTGCCCTGGTCGCCTTGTTCCTGGGACTTCGAACGACTGCTTTGAGTAGTCGACTGGTAGAGGCCAGGGGAAGAGCGCGTCATCCGGGTTTGAGGTGAGCATGTCGGATGGTGGGGTGGTGGACAGTGGATGAGATTGAGAGGTGATGAGGGTTAGAGGAGGAGATGGGGAGGATATAGCGGGGGAGGAGGGCGCAAAGGGTAGAGAGGGGGAGAGGGTGGCGGATGTGTAACCGGGGCTCGATTGACACCGGCGGTACAAGGTAAGGTTCGCCAGCTCAAAAGGGAGGAGTGGTGGTGTCGGCAGCGACAGGGACCATCTAAGAGAGACAGCGACGAGCGCACAAGCACGAGCAAACGTAATACCCGGCAGACTTAGGAGGGGATCAGCTGAGCACCGGTTATTCACTCTCTTCATCCATCCACCAGCGGTTAACACCCCGTCATCCACTTCCCCCCTCTCTTCATCCACGCTCAACCCCCCCGCATCCCCTTTTAACTGCGGCCGACAAAGACCCCTCAGCATGATTTCCCACGGGCCGAGCGCCACGTAACACCGTTCGTAATCTGCGGGGAAGGGTCCGGTTATTCATACACAAACGGGCTGGTTCACGTGATTAATGCTCTGTCCTTCAAGGCGAATGTGGATGCTGGAATCCACCAGCTTTCCGGGGTTGCGCACACTGGCGACCCACGAGCAAGTTATGACGCATGTACACCGGCTCATTGTCCGTAATGATGGTTGTTACATCCAGCCATCGGTTGTGACAGCACCCTCCAGCTTTTGCTAACCCTGACCGGCTACCCGAGCCATCAGACGTCAGGTAATCGGAATATTCATTCATACAATATACGAATATGAAAAATCAGACGATGATAATGGGATATCTGTTCGGATATCTAGGGATGCCTATTCACGCGTTACACTGTCCTCCCTCTTCCCCCTCCCTCTCCTCCGACCAGGCGCATATCAGCCCCGTACCCGACCCCCTCTTCCCCATCGGCGGTTAGTAGATGCATCCATCCCACGCCCATCATGAACAACCAGCATTGCAAAGGATACCAGTAATCAACCACTCCCACTAGTACTCTTCCGAAACAACTTGTTCCAGCCCCGAGCCTCACCCCTATGTAATCGTCCTACTCCTATCATATCCGGATCCTTCAACACAATAGGTCCGTTAATGCTCCCAACCTACGAGAACCAAGTCCGTCCGTGTGGTATTTAGGTTTTCATAGAATATAGGAGATCCGAAGCACCTCATCCCACTCCGCGCTCGTCGACCACCCTGCTCCCTCGCATTGCATCGCTCCAGCCCAAAGATCGCTTAAATCTCAAGCTAGGCCAATAAACAAACCACCTGACCCCCACTCATGTTGCGTACATACGGATCCGGAGGTGAACAGTGCTTACCAGTCCCGCACCCAGCGACCAGATCTCCGCGGCGCTAAAACATCATCAACCCTACACCGTCACAGGATCTCCCGAGACATTTTCTCGATAATAAAATCCAATATTGATATTATTCTATTGAGGACCACTCCCATCTGCTTGTACAAACTTCTCTAATAGGGAAGATGATACCCTAATACCTATAGGCTGAAATGCCAGTGCCTGGAATCTGCAAGTTCCAATTCGGTTCAGGAGCCCTGCCCGTTACGCTTCGGCTCTGGCTGGCGATGTTCCAAGGGCCCGAAATCGGCATTTGTTCAGAAGGAAAAGGCCCAGCCGAACCCTTACCTCTAGATTCGTGCGAAGAAAATAGGAAGAGAAGGGCGAGAGAGGAAGGATCCCACAGCTCTCCATATTTGGGGAAAGCGAGCTTCACCCGAGAAGTTTGATCCTAACGCCGACTTCTTGCACAACAGGGCACAACGGCTGATGCATTCATATTTGATTTTGGACAGGATCGGGGATGTATACTAGAATAAGCTATTGCTGACTATGGGATAATGTGCGAGGAATAGAGTTAGGTGTAAGTGTACGCGTATGGGTAGGGGGACGCCTAGGCGCGAGGAGAGGGGGGATGATATGCCCATGCCATTCCCTACTGCTGAGCCGGGTGACAGGAGCTTAGAAAGAGACGAGCAGGGACGGCCTAGCGCAACTCTCTTTCGGAGGGGTGATATCCCTTCCCATCCTATCAGTCCCACCGCAAGAGGGAAAGGAAAGAACGACTCACGCAACGTCCAGTACGACATGCCATCCCTGCCACCTGACGACTTCTACCAGAAGCGCGAGCCTAGGCTCTATGGGGAGGAAGACGAGCGCCTGCTGGAGTAGGAAGGCGAGGGTTCCGTATACTGCTAGGAAGGAGAGGGAGAGGAGGGTACGCTCAGAGGTCTTGTGGTGTATCCAGCGGCCTGTGGTTGGGTTAGTTATATATGATGGGAGGGAAGGGAGAGGGCATACTGAGGAAAGCGTGTGCGAAAGTGGCGAGGAGCTGGAGAACGCTGATGCTGCGCAGCAGGGGGAGCACACCGGGTACTGCATGTATCATGCCGGAGAGGAGGGAGAGCGCGAGGAAGAGCGCACTGAGGCGGAGGGCATTGGAGAGGATGCTGAGAGAGGAGAGGAACTGCGAGCCTAGATATATGCGCTTGGGTTAGCTGTGCACTGGGAGAGGGGGCGAGTACGCACCAGGAGTGGTCTTCTGCGTCCAGTCGTCTCGCACCATCTGGAGACGGGCTTGGAGGAAGGTGCAGTAAGGGGGGATGGCTGATCTGCTTGGGTACATGTTGGCGAGTTGGCGGGAATGGACGTGTGGGACGGGTGTCTAGCAGTGGCACTAGTGGAGTCGTCGAGGTGAGGAAGGTGTACAAGGGTGATGTGAGCTGTATGCGTGAGGCGTGGGTGTCGTAAGTGCGTGAGGGGTTCGTACAAAAGGAAACGAGGAGAGTGAGGCACACCAGCCAGAGGAGGGGAGGGAGGAAGGGAGAGAGAGAGTCACGTCATGTCTTATATCCCCCCTTCCTGACACAGTCATGCCTCTTCCCCAAACAGCGGTACACGGGAAAAAAGAGTGGAAATGCCCTTCCAGATCGGCCTCTCTCACCCGGATCGGAACAGGCGATCGCGTAGCCTCTTCTGGTAATCGGGAGCTTGCACGGGTATGATCCAAACAGCGGGAGCCTGAGATCGGGAATATGAGACACCAGACATCGTGTGTCGCCGTGTTCTCGCGTTCGTCTTGGGTGGAGAGCGGCTCTTGGCCGTCAAAGTCCGCGCAGATTGTAGCCTGCTATTCTCTCGAGCTGATCTTCCATCGGTACATCGGGTGCACAGACGCAGGTGGCAAGGTATCGTACCAGAGCGCTGGTGCCGAACGCCCACACAAGCACACTACGAAGATTCAGATGCAGATGAACAGCCCCCCGGGCGAGCTTACAAGGCGCGCGAAATCCACGCAGCTGAATTCGCGCATATGACAAGAAGCACAGACCCGAAGCACCCGAAGCACTAGAGAAAGAAGCAAGGAGGAGGAGGTCGTCAGAAGAACTGGTATGCTGCGCCTGACGGACGTTGACGCGTGAGTGGGCCGACATCTTCCGTCGTAGCCTTTTTCAGCGGTAAGATCTTATCACCACGCGTATGTATACTCAGCCATTGTCCACCGCTAACCGCCCAGCGAGCAGCAGTCCACAACCTAAAGGACTAACGAACCTAACCAGCCTCGCTCAACCCAACCCAACCCAACCCAACCCAGCGCAACCGAGAAGCCAAAAAGCCACAACTCCAACCCCTGACCAAACTTGAACCGCCGTCCCGTAAGTCCTGATACATCGGGATCTCATCGTTCAATTTTTAGCTCTCAGAACCCTCGCCACACGTCTCCGTTCGGCGTTCGGCTTCGCAACTTCCTTCTCGCAGCGAGGTTAAGGTCAGGTCAAGGGGAGAACACACGGAGTGTCTCGGCGTTTGCCCCTTCTTCCTTGTTTAGTGTCTCAGTACTATGTCTCAGTGGCTTGGTATGTATGTCCGCCGGTCTCCCCTCTCCTGGTCTTACTCGCTGCGTCTCGATCACGCGTGAGGTCCAGACCGATCACGCCCCAATCCCGCAAATTTCAAACCGAGAAGAATCAGAAGCATGTCCGTTTATCGAAGCGTGTCTCAGCAGACACGGAAGCCAAAAAATGCCTTCATGCCCGATTGATGTGGTCTATTACTCTATTGAGCCAATCGGTTTCTTATGCCGCTGATGAGTGGACCGGGAGGCGGACCCGGTGGTGAGACATCATTATCAGCCACGCAATTTATGTCTTCTTCTGCAATATTCCCTGTATCCCGGTGAACGAGCGAATAAGTACTTTTTCGGTCCGGCATGAGCCGAGTGAACCGACATCCTGGGAACTAATAGGCTGCTGGCGCTGCTTGTAGAGTGGGATGACCTTATCCCCTTCATACGGACCTTTCTTGCATCGTATAAAACATCTGCAGGCCCGTGCGCGACAAGCAGGGTTAGCATGCGTCGCCTACACCTCCTCATCAAGCAGCACGCGTCTGAGTATGCAGCTCGGCTTCTCCCGAAGAAAATCGAATACCCGTGTTGTCTTGTGTGAATGAGAATACGTGCCTGACACGGGCTTCTCCGTTGCCTGATGGGGTTTGGGAGTTCTTGATGGGCGTTTATTGCATGAAGTAGATGGGATGAATAATGGCAAGATGGTATAGGGAATAGGAATAGTAGCTGCGTATTATTGGCTCACGGAGAACAGAGCACTCCACCCTGGGTAAGACGCCGCTTTCGCAGCTCCTTGCAGGCTGATCACTGATCGTCACCATCAGTATTACCATTCGCCCTTGTGCACTGTCCGCGTTCTGCATTTCCGCACTTCCCAAATTCAGCAATATATGTCACGGAGCATATCCCGCCGGAGAAATGAATGGCCTCGCGCTGATCCGAGGTGATGCGGTCTTGTCAGAAGGGGACATATGCAGGTTGCAGTGCAATAAACGCATTCTCTGCTTCTTCAGGTATCGAGTCATACAACAAAACGTTGTTCCGTACATGTATTGATTTCCATTTCCGTATTCCTGAGTGGTGCCCTTCAACCCAGCTTCCTGGAGCCCGAGCGACTTAGAGCGCCTTCCGGCTGGGCGGTTCCCCACTCTCCTTCCTCCTCTTCCAACCCAGTTCTTTCCACCCCTCCCACCCGCCTTTCATCTGCCCAATCCCAATCCCCAGCTCCCTCGCAACCTCCGTCTCGTGCGCCAGGACACTCATGACGTTATCCTCCATGTCCATCCTCGTCAATCGGGCGATACTCTCATACGCGAGAGACAGGTCCTCATGCATCGTATGCGACGGTTTTGCTTCAGGTCCTTCAGCGGGGTAGGCCCAGCAAGCGCAGGGCCAGCGAGCAGAGGGGGAAGGGAAGGGACTGTAGATGTATCGTGAATGACAGGTGTCTCCACCCAGGAGGACATAGGTGTCGGGAGAGGTAGAGACACGGCACAACGCTACCATATGTCCTGGACAATGCTATTCCGTACCACGAACAACTGTGAGCGAGCCTCTGCAGCAGAGGTAAAAGAACCCACCCCAGGCGCCTGGGCAAGCCACAAACCCCCATCGCCAAACCAGTCCCAAGCTTTCTCATAACTCCCCAGCTTCTCCCACCCCCTTCCCCTCCCTCTCGCACCCTCTTCCCCAACCTCCCCAACCCAAGCCGGATGTTCCCAAAAGTCCTCAGGGATAGGATACGCATACTCGAGCCCTCCCTCCGCCCAGGCCTTCGTCCCCGGCCCGAAGAGGACAGGCAACGATGTCGGGAAATCGGGGAGAGCACCGAAGTGGTCCAGATGGGCGTGGGAGATCAGAAGCCCTGTGAGCGTGTTGAGCGTTGCGGGCGGGGGGAAGAGGTGCGTGAATAACTCTGGAAGCTGGGCGCTGGGTGGGACGTGCACTTCGAATCTGGTACGGGTGTTCTCTGCTACTGAAGGTCCCAGTCGGTCTACGTCCTATATCCCCGATAGCGTGAACGGAGTCCATTATCGAATAGAGGGTAGACGCACACTAACGAGCCCCGCATCCCAGAGCCAACGCTCTACCTTTCCCTCAAGTTGTTTCTCGATAACCCAGGAGAAGACGACCGCCGTTTCCTGCTCCTGCATCTCCTCCTTCGTCCCCCGTTGGCGGAACTGGATCCATCGGGCAGTCAGCTCACCGCAGTTCATCAGCGTGAGCTTGACGACTGCGTTTGGGGAGGAGGAGCCGGGGATGGGGTGAAAGGGGAGTGAGAGGGGGTCGACGTGCGCTGCTTGGGTTTCCATCGCTGTCGCCGTCGCTATCGTTGTGGATGAAGAGGGCGTGGTGGTGCATCATGCATATGCTTCGCTGAGTTAAGTACGTCGAAGGAGTATTCTCGGGAATCCACGCCATCTCAAGGACCCACGACCGCCAGCGAACTGCTCCGCAGAAAACGGCCTGATGGAATGGACAACATATGGATGGTGCAGAGGGATGAATGGATCGGGTGATGGGGGCGTGGAACAGGTACTTCAATTCAGTTTCCTCGTGGGAGGTTTACGTTGGCTGACCCGATTCTAGAAGGGACCGACCGTCTTACTGCTCTGGATAGTGATGTCTGGGTTGTTCTGGGCCGGGGCTCGTTGACTTCCTCCCCTGGGCTGCTTGTATAACTGCGAATCCAAGGTGAAAGGGGGACGGACAGACAATGAGAATGCCTGCGATCTCGGGTCTATGCCTGAAAACGACTGGATGACTCCTTCGGGTGCCGGGCTGCGATTCTGTGTCTGTCGATTGGTAGCACTACCTGCAAAACAGGACAACGGAATGACATAAACAGGCGGAAATGAACAAACCCCTCAGTGAGATAATTTCGTCATATTCGTCCTCTCATTCTTATGAGTCATAGAGTGGTACGAGGACCCATCAACCTCAATCCTTGCAGGCCACAGGGAACGCTAAATCGCCTCTCTCCTTGGAGGTTCCCCAGACTCCTTCCTCCTCTTCCAACCTAATTCCTTCCATTTCTCCCACCCACCTTTCATCTCCCCGATCCCCACGCCTAGCTCCCTTGCAACCTCCGTCTCGTGCGCCAACACACACATCACATTCTCCTCCATCTCCATCCGCGTCAGGCGGGCGATGCTCTGATACGCCTGCAAGAGGTCATCGTGCATCGTATGGGACGGTTCGGTATCCAGACCCTCGGTAGGGAGAGCAAAGCAGGCACAGGACGCGCGGGCTGAGGGCGACGGGAAGGGGCTGTAGATGTGTCGCGCGTGGCAGGTGTCGCCGCCCAGGAGCACATACGTGTCTGGGGAAGTGGACACGCGCGCGATGGCGACCATATGTCCCGGGCAGTGCTGGTGCAGACAAACGAGAGAAGGGTAGCACATTAGCGAGAAATTCATCAACATGAGAGGGTAAAGCTCACCCCAGGCGCTTGGGCGAGCCACAAGCTGCCATCGCCAAACCAGTCCCACGCATGCTCAAAACTCCCGACCTTCTCCCATCCTTTCCCTCTCCCTTTCGCTCCCTCCCCTCCGACTTCCCCAATCCACTTCGGATGCTCCCAAAAGTTCCTCGGAACGGGGAATCCCAAATCGAGGGAACTCTCCGCCCACGCCTTCGTCCCTGGACCAAAGATAACAGGCAGAGAAGCCGGGAAGTCGGGTAGTGCACCATAGTGGTCCAGATGGGCATGAGAGATGAAGAGTCCTGTAAGGTTTGACACCGTTGCAGGTGGTGGAGAGAGGTGGTTGAGCAGCTGCGGAAGCTGCGCGGTGGGAGGTACGTTGAAAATGAACCTAGACCTGAATAGGCTTGCCATCCCTTCCCCAGCGCGATCCAGATCCTTCATGCATGTGAGCGGAGGCCAACACCAGAATATCACCATAGACAAAGAGGACGTACGCTAATCACCCCAGCATCCCACAGCCATCTTTCAACTTTGCCGTCATCGAACTGTTTTTCGACCACCCAGGCAAAGAACACCCCTGTCTCCCGTTCCTTCATCTCCTCCTCCGTCTCGCGTTGCCGGAACTGGACCCAGCGCGTCCAACTCTCACCACAGTGCAGCAAGGTGAGCTTCACCACTGCACCTGGAGAAGTGGAAGCAGGGATGGGGTGGAAAGGGAGCGTGAGTGGGTCGATGTGATGTGCTTCGGCAGCCATGGTTCAATGGGGGTATCGGACTGGCCCCGAGCTTCAGTTTTAAATATTTCAGCCATGAGCCAGATCTTCAGTGATCAAGAAGTGTATTTAATCAGCAATTGATTTGCGAGCCAACTCGTAGTGAACGCAGACAAGAACAAGCAGATCCTACGACGCGGACAAGGATGGTCGGAGTTATAATTCTCACCGGGCGCTTATTCTCTTGTCCCTCTCGTCTGTACCCATTTTCGAACCATGCATCACCCAGATCACCATAGGCTTTAGTTACTAGAGCAATACTTTGTAATCTCTTTGATGGAGAACTTCACCGTGGATTGGAAAGTGGATCGACGATAGGACTCCTACAGCGCAGTTTGGAGCTCTATGAATCCTTCGAACCCGCGTCTCTTGCTCAGTCATCCATCTTGAGGTTCCTGCTCCACAAATGCTAACCAGCATAGTTACGTACAGAAATAGACCTATGCAGCATGGAGAACATCAAGCGGACAAACTGCGGGCGGGGCCCTTGGGTACTCGGATTTAACTTCCTTAAGCCGTCGTGGGTTTGCTTGTGGTCAAACGAGCTCTCCTGTTTGTTTTTTTTCCACTGTAAAAGCAAGGGTTTCTCTTTGTAAAGTTTGCTGTCTTTCCCCCGTCCCCCCCGTACCTTCTTCCTGCTCAGCACCCTTTACCGGAGCAGTTACAAAACCTCACGTCACCCAATAACAATTGAGCAAGCATTAATGACCGACGAACAATTAATAGCAACAATCCCTTTCTTGATAAAATTGTTTGCCGTAATGATTTCCTTGTTAACTTCCTTTAATATCCCAAGTTCTCAAGAGACCTTCAACTCGGCAGCGTATCATGACAACCTTAAATAACGCCTTTCTTCGGCGGTTCTCCACTCTCCTTCCTCTTCCAACCCAGCTCTTTCCACGCCTCCCAGCCGCCTTTCATCTGCCCAATACCAATCCCGAGCTCCCTCGCAACCTCCGTCTCATGCGCTAACACACACATCACGTTCTCCTCCATCTCCATCCGCGTCAAGCGGGCGATGCTCTCGTACGTAAGCGGGAGGTCCAGGTGCATCGTATGCGAGGGTTTGGCATCCGGGCCTTCGGATGGGTCGGCCCAGCAGGCACAGGGCCAGCGTGCTGAGGGAGAGGGGAACGGACTGTAAATAGGACGCGAGTGGCAGGTGTCGCCACCTAGAAGGACGTACGTGTCCGGGGAGGTGGAGACCCGGCCCAATGCGACCATGTGTCCGGGACAATGCTGGCGCAGAATGCATGATCAGCGAGCGGCTTTGGGTAGGAGAAAGATGAACATACACCAGGCGCTTGGGCAAGCCACAAACTGCCATCGCCGAACCAGTCCCACGCGTATTCGTAGCTCCCCACCTTCTCCCATCCCTTGCCTCTCCCTTTCGCACCTTCTTCCCCAACCTCTCCAATCCAATCCGGGTGTTCCCAGAAGGTCTTCGGGATCGGACGTCCCTGCTCGACCCCCGCCTCTACCCAGGCTTTCGTCCCTGGCCCGAAGATGACAGGGAGGGAGGCAGGAAAGTCGGACAGCCGCCCATAGTGGTCCATATGAGAGTGGGAGATGAGCAACCCGGTAAGTGTGGAGAGGGTTGCAGGGGGAGGGGACAGATGTTCCAACAGCCCTGGGAGCCGGGCAGAGGGAGGCACGTCGAAGATGAACCGAGGGCCGAAACTCGCCGCCAGGGTTGGCCCGAGATCGTTCGGATGCTTGACCATCTGTCAGTCTAATGTCGCAGTAACACAATCTGCCAAGTAGCAACGCACACTGACGACTCCTGCATCCCAGAGCCAACGCTCGACCTTGCCATCATCAAACTGCTTCTCGATCACCCACGCAAACACCACGCCAGTCTCCCGTTCGCGCATCTCTTCAGCGGTCTCGCGCTGGCGGAAATGTACCCATCGCGTGGTGATCTCCCCGCAGTTCAATACAGTGAGGTTGACAACCGCGCCTGGGGAGGTCGAAGCCGGGATTGGGTGGAAAGGGAGAGAGAGCGGGTCGATGTGATGCGCTTTGGCTGCCATTTTCCAGTGGAAGGGAACCAAGTACTTTGGCTGGACTCGACCTGGGCATTCTGCAGAGCTTTAAGTACACTGACGAAAGTGCTGATTGCTCAGCAATCCAAAATGCCCTGATTGAAACCGATGGTATCGGCAGGAACAGTTGCAAGCCATGAAAGTGCCCATCACGGCGTTAATGACAATGAAGTTATGGAGAAGTCCAACGGACCAACTTCACTTGACAATGCTGACAACGGACGATTTCAGGGAGTTCAATGAACGGCTTTAAAGCCCGCTGGAACGGTGATTAGGCCAACCAACGGCTGGTACTCCGCCGCCCTCCGCCCTTGGCCATCAGAGAGTGCAAGTTCGAAGTTTGTGAGCAATTCATCTGCGAAATATGATGGAGGTTCAGCAAATTATGAGTTCCTGGAGAAAACATACGTTGATCTAAACACAAACTGTATATACTTGCAAGAGGACCAGAGCGCACTATTTGTTATTAGTCATCGCACAGCCACTAATAAACCAGCGCTATCTTTTTTTTGGGCGCTCATTCTGGGTGGTCCCTGATCACAATTTCTCATCTACTCTTCATCCAAAATATACCCTCTCCTTCGCTTCAGCTCAGAATGCCTGCCGCTGAACTTTTCAACACTCAGCCTATTGTGCGCTTTACAGGACATGGCCATCTACGTAATCGCCTCGTGCTCTCCTTGTTGAGCGGCAAACCTGTACGCATCGACCAGATTAGGAGTGACGACAAGGATCCCGGGTTGCGAGGTGTGCCGATCCTCGACGTCCTTGCCAGAATGTCATCATACTAACACCTTTGTGCAGATTTTGAAGTCTCGCTACTGCGACTCCTCGAAAAGCTCACGAACGGGTCAAACATCGAGATCTCCCTCACCGGCACTTCTCTTCTCTTCGGCCCAGGCGTCCTGATCGGCGGCCCGATTTCGCATGACTGTCCTCTCACTCGCTCTGTGGGATATTTTCTGGAGCCAATACTTACCCTTGCTCCGTTTTGCAAGCAACGGGTAGAGCTCACTCTCAAGGGTATTACGACGGACGAGCGGGACCTGAGCGTGGACCTCATACGGACTGTCACCTTGCCCACGCTCGCCCCATTCGGCGTAGGCGAGGGTGTGGAGCTCCGCATCCGGAAACGTGGGGCTTTTCCTGGTGGAGGCGGAGAAGTGCAGTTTATCTGCCCTGTGGTGAAGAGTCTTAAGACGCTCAATTTTGTTGAACCCGGGAAGATCAAGAGGATCAGAGGGATCGCCCACTCTGTCAGAGTCAGCCCGCAGTTCTCTAATCGTATGATCGAAGCTGCACGGGGAGTGCTGAATAGATACATACCCGATGTATACTTGTACAGTGACGTATTCAAGGGCGAGGACAGTGGCAAGTGCGCCGCCTTCTTTCTCTCATCTTAAGGAACTACACTAATTTTGCCGCTAGATCCCCAGGCTACGCTCTCTCCCTTGTCGCTGAATCTACAACCGGCGCACTACACTGCTCTGAATCTGTCTCCCTACCAGGAACAACACCAGAAGAAGTAGCCCTCCACTCCTCGCGCGCGCTGCTGCTCGAACTCAAGAGGGGAGGATGTGTCGATAGGCTTCATCAGTGTTTAGTCCTGTTGTATATGGTGCTGGGGAGCGAAGACGTAAGCAGGTGCAGGATGGGAGAGCTGAGCCCCAGAGCGTGCGTCTTCATTCTCTACTCTCAACTTGGCGGTGCTTTGATACTTGCCTGTGTATGTAGCATTCAACACTTCCGCGACATCCGCGCATTCTTTGGAACGGTGTTCAAGATCTCTCCAGCAGAACCAATGGATAGGGACAACACGGAGCTACTAGTCTCCTGTGTGGGCATCGGATATGTCAACGCTAACCGAACTCTGGCATAATCCTTGCCAATTCACTGCAGGCGCCCAAGTCATATATTACTCGGTTGTACGGTATCCCAGCTAGCTGCGCCCATTGACCACCGTGCTCCCCGTTCGAGTGTGTAGATGCGGGTCCCGGGAGTGTGCAAGCACCGTCCTCGCCAGCTCGACCCATCCCTGTGCCTTCTCTCTCTCCGCCTTCTCGAACCCTCCAGCAACGTTCTTCTCCCCCCTACCCAAGCACGCCTCCACCAAATCGCACGCTTCGCTCGGCGCGTGCGTGTCCACCCATCGCACATACTCTGCTTCTGTCCACCCGTTTGTCGTGTGTGGCATTGGCAATGGGGAGAGAACAAGGATGTGGTGCAGGACGATGAGAGGTGGGAGGCCGGCTGTGTGTGCTGGTGATGTGAGGTCAGCAGGGTCGAGGAATAGGAGTGGCCTGTACGAGGAACGCGGGTTGTCAATATTTCACCCTTATAGACAGCATTGTATACTGATAATAACACATACCTGAGCCCCCTTAGCGCCCTGAAATCATCCCCAGCGTTCTCGAGCCGCAGTCTGCTGCCCCGTTTCGGCCCACTCCCATCACCGGATGAGACAAACTGATTAAGCGCAAACTCGAGCTGAGTCATGTCGCTCGTCAGCTGGAGCTTGCCACCTTCTCCTAGTGGGCTCGCGATAGACGCGTGCAACACGAAGTGCTTGAGGACATGTTTGGTTATTTGCATGATCCTTTGCGGGGTTCAGCACTCTCATTCAAAGCGGAAAAAGGGAGATAGTCGTACCACTCATTCCTCAGTTCTCCAACGTCAAACCTCGGCAGTATGTCTGTCCTTACAAGCGTAAGCTTGGTTATCAGATCATCCATGTACACGCTCGACGCCCCGCCCACAGTCGCGTCAAACGGTTTGCCATAATCGACCCGGTGTAGCCGGGCTATGATGGCGGCTGTCTCTCGCCGAATGGCGGACAGTAGAGGCTCGACAGCGCGTTGATAGGCTGCTTGGATCATCTGTATTATAGTCGGTATGATATGCAATGACAACTAGGGGACGGTAATGCAGACGCACTCTTGTGCTGGGCTCTACGATAGTCCATACACTCTCATGGAACTCGTCCTGCAACTTGCGTAGTCGGACACAGGTCTGGTAGAGTGTGCTGATGACCTGTGCATTGCCGATCTGCTGAATTGTCGCTCCTGGTCCCTGTAGAGATGTGGCAAGTCTGTCCTTAATGACCTACAGTCATCTTCAGCTTCGCACATCCGAGGAAGTCGCAAGACGTACTTGGCCATCGAGCCGCATGATCAAGTTGTCCAGGGAGCCTACCACGTTCCTCGCCACCGAACGCACCAAAAGAGGATCAAATCTCGCCTTGTCTAGCTCGTTCGCGATGGTCCGCACGAGGAGTGTAGCGTCCTTGTTCGCGACGACAGCGGAGACGGCCTCATTTAGCCTGACGGTGGAGCGAGAGAGGTACAGCGTCTCAAACTGAGAGATGGAACGTAGGATTAAGACTGTTTCTGGGCTGTGGTTGAACTGGGTCAGGTGATGAGCAGTATGCATGGAGGTTGGGATATCTACCTTTGTTGGGAGAGGGTATATACTGTATCGGTATGGACGGCGATCTTGGCGAAGAAGTCGTGGAACAGGCGCAAGAATCGCGGGTATGATGTGCTGAGGGTTTGTTGCAGAAATGTCGAGTCTGTCACATCGTCAGCACAGCACAATCAAATATCCGCCAGTAATGTGAACCCACTCCTCGCATTCTCCCTTGTATGCTTCTCGATCGCCTGGGACAGCGACATCCAAAATGTGGAACTGGGTTTATTTTCGAGCAACTTCATGCCTTCGTCTAGAAAGACAACCCCTGTAGCGGGGTCGCGTTTTCGCTGGAGTACCTTCTCCAGTGTGTAGACCTTGATGCAGCAAGAGGCCATGTCTTCGATCAGCAGATCAAGGCGGGACCACAGCGCTTGCGTCCATTGGGGAGCGGTGATCTGGGTAGGTTCCGTGCGGATGCGGGATTTGTACATCAGGCTGGGGACGGACGACGTGGGTGCCTCTAGATACAGGCAGACAATTGTCATGGTGGATATAAGCGCCTCGTGAGAGTGTACCCACCTTTGACAGCCGTCTCGCGCGATATCCGGTTCACATCAAAGGCACTCCTAATCCTCTCGTCCACCGCACCCGTCAGATCAGCCATCAAGTTCTGCACCAGCTTTGGAAGTACGCCGAGATTGTAAGCTGTCTGAAGAGATGAGGCCAGCAGCGATTGATCCAGGTTTAGCAGGCCGTTCGAGACCATGGTCTCCATTGAAGAGGTTACTCTGATCCGGTGGGATTCGATCTGGGCAATGTGCCGTGAAACAGCGCGTACTTGGGAGAGAGGTACACGTGGAGTTGCGGTTGAAATGGAGGTAGAAGAATCACCTTCTTGGTCGACAACAGTTACCGATGGGGCGGAGTAGAGTGACACTGCAGGCTGCTCAGCACAACTAAATCAGCTTGAGAAAAGCCCACATACCGAGTTCAGCGATACTCAATGCAGCTTTGGCGATCGCCCTCTCCTTATCCCCTTCCAAAACCTCCGTCGCGGCTCCACTCCCATTAACGGCATGCGAGGGCTCAGCATCCACCTCTGCCATTTGCACCTCAAGTCGTCGGGCGATGATTATGAAGCGCGATGTGCGGCGGAGAACGTCCGTTGCCAGCTGCAAACGCTGGAGGCGGACGACATGTGCTGAGAGGGTCGCGTGTGGTAATTGAATCTTATTTTTCAGCCTATGGGAAGCCAGTCAGAGGCAGTATCGGTATTTGCCAACTATAGGATGGCGCATACCGGTCCAGGGAAGTTTCAACCTGCTCCAGTCCATGCCTCACCGAGCCGATAGCCCTCTCCAGATCTGTGACTGTGCTCGCTTGTGCCAATAGAGCTTCATGGTGCGTCACGACGACATTTTGTAACTGCTTTGCCACATCGTCAATCGCAAAGTTCAGTTTGGCGATGGCGAGGGATATGTCCTCTTTACCGGCTTCAGAAGAGATGGGGCCTGCTCCTCTGACAATTGTTGTGCTTGGTTTGGGCTTAGAGGATGAGGGATTGTATGATTCGCGTGCGAGGATGGCATTCGCGTATTCGTTTGAGTCGAAGGAGGGATGGGCAAAGATGTCGTAGTCTAACCTCGTTGAGTGATTTTTTTCAGTAATAAAAAGTGAAAACATACCGACAGGTGCGTCAGCTGACATTGATGCAACAGTCTATTGGTTCCAGTAATTACGCATGTAGACACTTTTGCAACAATAATGCCTTTTCAGTTATTGTTAGTGACAAGGCTGTGAATAAGGGATGTTCATTCACGTGCACAATAATTATATTACTTCGCACGGACCCTGGCCACTTCCGTAACCAACATGTTCTGATAACTACTAGGCTGGCTTCGTACACTTCTCTTCTATCGCAATTACTTACTTAGCTTCACTACAATGTTTCCTAGCTTTATGAGCTCGTCAACGGCTGTTGAGCAGGAGCGAAGAGAGGACGATGTTCAATCCCTGGACGAGTCCCTTGCGCCTCCCTACGCCAAAGAGTTTATCTCTTTTATCAATGCCGCGCCCACTGCATATCACACATGTGCATTCTTTGCAAGTCAACTTCGATCAGCAGGCTTTATTGAGCTCCCTGAGCGCTCGTCTTGGCTGTCCATTCGCCCTGGAGGGAAATATTACACTACTCGGAACTCATCTTCTATCATTGCTTTCGCCGTAGGGGGCCGCTACACTCCACCCAACGGAATAGCAGCCATCGCAGCACACATCGACGCACTCTGTTGGAAGATCAAGCCTTATTCGAAAGACGAGAAAGGAGGCTTCTTGAGGTTGGGTGCGGCTCCCTATTCGGGAGGAGGGCCGAGCACGAAGTGGGACGCGAGCCACTCAACCTGGTGGGACCGAGATTTGAGCTTGGCAGGCAGAGTACTTGTAAAGGGAAAGGATGGGAAGGTCATTCAGAAGCTGGTTAATCTTGGAAAACCCAGTAGGTGATTCTTTCTTCCGGGATTGCACAGCGCTCACACAACTCAAGTTGCTCGCATACCAAGCTTAGCCAAGCACTTTGGCGAGCCTGCGTTGGGGCCGTTCAACTTCGAGACGAACATGGTACCCATCATCGGTATGAGCAGTGAAAAGGAGGACACCGACATTCCGGGGGTCATTGGGAAGCAGCATTCTGCCAGGTTGTTGAAGGCGATTGCCAAAGAGCTAGGTGTTTCCGGTGCGGGTCTCTCCCAAGATGACCATCGAGCAGGGGCTGAGATACTGAACAGCTCAGGACATCGTCGATTTTGACCTCGAGCTGTACGACATAACACCTTCCGTCTTCCTAGGCCTTGACGACGAGTTCATTTCCTCCCCGCGTTTGGACGACAAGCTCTGTTCCTTCGCAGCCATATCAGCGCTGCTCGCTTCCAGCTCCGATCCCGAGTTTTTCGAGCAGAGCGGGACGATCAGCATGGTTGCTCTGTTTGATACGGAGGAGATTGGCAGCAGGTTGAGGCAGGGTGCGAAAAGCAACTTCTTGCAGATTGTTGCAGAGAGGACCGTGGAGGCGCTCGGTGGAAAGGGAAAGGGCCCATATGGGCAGGTCATGGCCAATTCGTTCATGGTGCGTTCTAAGCCTTGACTTGGATTTCACCTGCTCACATATTGCCTAATTAGGCATCAGCAGATGTAACTCACTCCCTGAACCCGAACTTCTCTGAAGTCTACCTCTCCACCGCTGCGCCGTTGCTCAACAAAGGCATCGCCTGCAAGGTCGATCCCAACGGGAACACGACGAGCAACGCGACTAGCATGGCCCTCGTGCGCAAGATCGGAGAGAAGTACGGGTGTGAAGTCCAATGTGGGTCTGGCTCCTGTCATATCCCATATTCATCAGTCTGAGCACGATCCCTAGTATTCCATATTCGCAACGACTCCCGCTCCGGAGGTACAGTAGGGCCCATGCTCTCAGAGCGCCTGGGCATGCCTTGCGTCGACATTGGCATCCCACAAATGTCGATGCATTCTATCCGCGGGCTCACGGGCTCTAAAGACCCAGGCCTGGGAGTCAAGTGGATGGAAGGGCTGTTCAGAGGGTTCGAGGAGTTGTCCAGCTATGTGGGGTTTGAGTGAGGCGAGTGTGAGAGTTGTGTTGCCAGGTGCGAAGGGGTTTGATGCCAAGCAGCGATGATCACGGACTCAATTCTGGAAGAAATAGACTCGGTATCGAGTGCCTGTCGCATTTCCGCAGGTGACCCCTCTTAGGGCGCTAGTTCACTGTTAATCAGCGATTGTTCTCAAAGTTAAGCGCCCACGCCCGTCCCTTTGACGCCACCAAGAATTGCCGTCAAGATCTTGGCATTTCGAGTTGTTCAGGAGGCCTCCGGATGCTCTGGCTCGACAGGGCCGATCTCTTTGAATATCTGAGCACCGGACGCGAGAGGTCATACTGCAACTTGGCAAATGGGGCATTCTATACAGACTTCCTTCGCCATTATAGTGCCCGATGTGCTCCTGGATCCCCTGGATCGGTGCATGCCCCTAGACGGCGCCACGACCGCAGGTAGGACAGCGCGCCCTGATGAATATGAACTATTTTCGATCATGGCTGGCTTGGTCAAGCACACCCCCAGAAGATAGACGACTGAAGGCACTTGAGCGACGGCGTGGATTTGTGGATGGTCCGCAGGCCTACGGAACGAAGGAAATCCGCGGTCAGTGCCCCACGAGAGCCGGTTGGATGATAATGCAAACTTTTAGTGTTGACCATCAATTAAACTTCCTACCTGTTCTGGCTCAGGGTGATTCCTGTGTGTCGTCCGATGCTGGCCAAGCCACAACACCACACCCATGAACTTGCGGGTCGCGTGAGGCCAGCAAGTGCCTTCCAGAGGGTCTCGCATCGTGTTCGGAGACAGCGCCGTTATGCATCCATTTAGGAGTACCTTGCTTGCTTGACGAAGAAAGGGCATTGTACACGACCACAGCGAAGAAACCTCGCTAGAGTTTGTTACCCTATCATCGATCAGGATGTGAAATCTAGTCTCGGAGCGACCTCTTACCGGTGTACGATAACGCTGGTCCTTGCGCTTGTGCTTGTTCCTAAGCCCACGGATATGGAATGTGCTGCGGCCGATACACGTGCAGGATAAATCCTCAAGAAGTTCTACCCCTCATCAGAGTAACTTCAAAGAGCAGTAATGTTGAACACGGGATTCCATCTATCATACGGCGGATCTCTGGAAGCCAGTCGCCGCCGCCGCCGTTTGTTGTTCGAAAGCGGTATGAGGCTATATAATAGCAGTCCGGACTTAGTCACGCACCTCAGGTGTACATTCCAGACGGAGGTTGCGTGGCTAAATTTAAACATGTGTGCTTCCGCCTCTGCTCGTTTCCGAGCCCGATGTTGGGCTTCTTCCCACATGGGATAGGGACGAACGTGCGGAAATTCTTCCTGTCAGTTTGGCTAGTTTTCTGCTATGCACTGCACGTATCCATTGCGCTGTTAAACGGAATAATGGATTGACTTTAACGTGTGATCCTACGTCGCCGGGGATTGTGAAATGCCTGTGCGACAATGTCATTCAGAAGCAACAGGGGTGCGATGTCATAGAGTTGGAGCGGATGAATACCTTAGGGGGAGAAGACGTCCCTCACGACGGCACACCGCACCTCCAACTAAGCCTGAACATAATTCTTCCAGATGACTAGGGTATGCGGGCGGGGTGTAGGTGTCAATTGGCCAATGACATGACGTCTTCGTCTGTCATGAATTCCGATGTCAAGAGACCGTCAACCATCCCTGACCGATCGAGGCTAGTACTTTCCAGACCAGAGAAGTGATGAGTGCCAGTGGCCAAAAGGGTATAAAGAGGGCCGTGCTTACCTCGCTCCTACCCCAGCTTGCCCCGACCTTTGAGAGCCAAACACTGCGGTAAGAAAGATGAAGGCCGACTACCTCTACAAGCGTTCGTCCACGCTCTCGCACTTTCCCATTGCCCACTCTCCTCCAAACCTTCCCGTCCCTCTCAAAACCTCAGCGAGTCTATCTTTTCCCTGCCGTTCGCCCCTGTCTCGCTCTCTGGAGATGGATCAGGGAACCAATTCAGCCAACTTTCCTCCGAGGCCCTGGTCCCGCAGAGCAGCGACGCCTCTGCTCAGAATCCCTTCATCAACCGCAATGCCCGGCGCCCGCAGTTCAACACGAATCTGCAAGTACACGCGCCTCACAGGGAAGAACTCAACCTCAACCGCGTCCATACTTGTCCAGTTCCCGGGGTGTTCTCGTGTACCCCGGAGGCTCAAAGCACGACCTCGTGCTGTGTACAGAAGCCAGGTGGTGTGTTGCTCCACGTTCAGCTCTGGGATGTGGGAATCGGCCTGCCCAACAGCTGGGGCATTCACGGGCTCTGGTGAGTGTGTTCGTCAGCCGCCACTTTCATTCCCTGAAGCACGATCTTCTCTAGGCCTGACTTGTGCAATGGCGGCTATGATGAGAGCCACGATGGTGATGGCCGTGCCTACACCCCCGAACAGATCTCCGACGTGCTCGCTGCCTCCGGGCCCGACGGGCAGTCTCTCGTCGACTTCATGAACCAAGTGTGGTTAAGCAATGATGACTCCCCTTCTGAGTTCTGGGCGCACGAGGCGAGTGATGCGCATTTTCCGTCCGCTTCTGATGGCTGATGGAGGCGATGCAGTGGAAGACGCACGGTGTGCGGGTGTCGACGCTCGAACCAAGCTGCTTCAATGACTACCAGGGACTTTGTGTGCAAAGGACGCAAGCTCAGCCAGGTCGAGTACTACCTGCGTGCACAGGGGCCGGTCCAGGACGGCAATTTCGTGCAGAGTCACCCGACGAGGAACAGTAATTGCCCGGATGAGGGAATTGAGTACCCGATGAAGTACAGGGACGGAGAGCCTATGAATGATCGGGCAGGTCGTAGCTCGGGAAGAGAGGGCGGCAATGAGAGCAGGAGGGCAGAGCAGGGAGAGCAGGAGCATGGCAGGGAACACGAACGCGGTCATGAGAGCGAGAGCAGGAGGCGCCATGAAGAAGAGAGGCACCATGAGGAAAGGCACCATCATTACGACGATTTCTGATCACACTCGTGATCACCACCATCAACAAGTACGACTCGGAGCTGGCTAAAGTGAAGAAGAGCGTGATGTGTTCACATAAGATGTACCAGACCATTGAAATTAAATATTGAGATTGTTGACAGTACAATGATGAGTTGCTAAATCACGGTCCCTGGCCGTCACGTCAACGTTCACGACCATGAGCCCTCGACCCTCTCTCGACCTTCGACAACCAATACAATCCTTAACCACCTTCCTCACCCATCCTGCATACTTCTGGCATGTCGCTGCCCTCCTCCTACTGGGCGATGCCGTCTTGACACAGCTCATCATCCGCTTTGTGCCCTGTGCGCCCTCCATCTCCTGCGTACTCGGTAGCCGCTTGTCTGACCGGGCGCGGGCAAAGATACAGAAATCGACTTCTCTACATATGTTGAGCAAGTAGCTATATATGACAAAGGCGAGCGGGACTATGTATTGCTGACGGGGTCAACGGGGCCTGTAGTGTACGTCTATTCTGTCGTCCCTCGCCCCCCCGTAGGCTAACCCGATCAAACAGGTACCCAGCAGGCCACGTCTACATCCACTCCTTTCTCTCGCAGATCTCGCACGCTGGGCAAGACCAGTTCCTACTGCAGCAGATTTACGGCGCGCTTTACCTCCTCACCCAGTTTCTCGCCATGGCCGTATATCGCACGGCAGGTGGTGTGCCGAACTGGGTGCTGCTCCTGCTCGCCGCGAGCAAGAGGTTGCATAGTATATACGTATTAAGGCTATTCAACGATTGCTGGAATGTGTTGGGTATGATGGGAAGCATATTGGCATTTGCCAGGGGACATTATACCGTCGGAAGCGCCTTATTTAGGTGCGCGTGCTGTTTGCTAACTTGTCCACTACCTTTGGCGAGGAGACTCACGCATGCCTAGCCTTGCCCTGCTTGTGAAAATGAACGCGCTCTTGTACCTACCCGCCATCCTTCTCCTCCTGTATCAATCCCTCGGCGTCGTGGGCACTCTCCTCCAGTTGTGCACGCTCATCCTCCCTATCCAACTCCTCCCCGCACTCCCGTTCCTCCTGTTCAGCCCCTACTCATACCTCACGAGCGCGTTTGACTTAGGCCGTATTTTCCTGTACAAATGGACGGTCAACTGGCGCTTCGTGCCCGAAGCTACGTTCTTGAGTTCGCAATTTGCGAGACTGCTGATGACGGCACATTTGGGGATGCTGGGAGTGTTCTTGATTGAGAAGTGGAGTAAGAAGGACGGAGGCGTGATGGGACTCGTAGAGAGGGGGCTGAGGAGACCATTCAAGCCTGCGCAGTTGGTAAGGCCGTCGAGCGACTGTACGCACCTCTTTTTCGATTTTGAGAACGCAAGCCAATTGAAGTGTTCAGACATCGTTACGCTGCTGTTTACGACCAACCTGATCGGGATCGTTTATGCCCGTTCGCTACACTATCAGTTCTACTCTTGGTATGCTTTGCAGATCCCCTTCCTCCTCTGGCGAACACCATTCCCGGTGCCACTCAAGTTTGTCTCCTTTTCTGCGCACTCAATCCCCGTTTCTAATGTGCTCTTAGGTTGTCGATATGGGCAGGGATCGAGTACGCATGGAACGTCTACCCGTCTACCGTCCCGTCGTCTATCATCTTAGTAGCTGGAAACGCGTTGATCCTTCTAGGCGTCTTCTTTGGGACGTCAAACGGGAAGGAGCAGATGCAGCCTCGTATTGCTAGGGATTCAGCACCGGCTGGAGCCGACACAAAAGTAGATTAGTACACTATAATACTGCATTGCATAGTTGTTCAGTCGAATCTACGATTCCCTGTCACGTGCCAGCCAATGAAATGCTTGCGTCCGGTCATGAACGCGACGCGTCGACCTATGTGCGACGCGTCTGCCTCACCGTGCATTCGTACTTTGTACTCTACTTGTCATACCCTTATCAAACATGCCCCAGCAGCATGAGATCACCGTAATACCGTCCGTTCACGGACCGGGAATTACAAGACTTGTCTTCTCTAAGAATGGACAGTATGTCGCGCCCTATTCTTTTCTGTGTACGAGACTAACAACGGAATGCAATGCAGGAAGATCTTCACTGGTGGGACGGACATGACTCTTCGTGTATGGGTCACCGATGCACCCACCGACCAAGAATGCGATACCTACACAGAACACGACGAACCTATCACATGGTTGGATTGTACAGTGCGTTTTGCTTTCGCGCTCCCATGTTGCAGAGGCTGAAAGGCAGAGCAGAGAGATACGCTTCTGACGGCCTGTGAGGACGCGGCGGTCAGGATATATGATGCTGAGAGTGCGGAATGGAAGGGGTACTTGACTCGCACAGAGGCGGTTCCTATACGGAGCGTGGTGCTGGATCGGAAGGGCGAGAGAGCGGTCGTGACATCCGAGTACGCACCGTTCGTCAACTCCTGAAAAAACCGCTATTGACCATTATCCAGTGAGACTACATTCAAGATCATCTCTCTTGCCGACACGACAGAGATCATCAAAGTTAGTGGGCACGCTACGCCCATCCGATCGGCGAGTTGGGACCCCAAAGGCGCGTACTTGACCACCTCTGGAGCCGATGGGAAGATCCTCATCTGGGACCTGCTGCTGGGAGATGAGCCGGTACAGACGAAGGTGCTGGATATTGCCCCGAAGGTAGACCATGAGTGAGTCATCTATGGGCCTTCGCTATCCCCTTTTCTGAACATGAGTAGGTCGAATACTGCTATATGCGAGATTTCGGCTATTTGGCATCCTAGTGGGAAGTATTTTGTGGTAGCGACGAAGACGAACGGTGGGCCGATTCTAAGAAAGGTTCTGTCTTGTGTTGATGCGATCTTCCAGAGATCACCATGTACATGCGCGACACATGGTCCAAAGGAGCGACATTCGTAGGAGATGGGCATGCCGGGGTGCGTTTCTAGGCTGTGGAAGTTCGCCCTGAAGCTGAGCATACAATAGCTTATCTCTGGCCTCGCGTTCTCGCCGAACGGCCTGTACCTGGCTTCTGGTGGAGAGGATGGTCAGGCTGTCATTTGGGATACGGAGACGAGGAAGGTCATAGACAGGTCCGTCCTCTCATGCAGGGCCAAATCGTCTGCTCATTTTCTTCCAGAGAAAAGCCATCGGGAGACAAAATTGCTGTAACTAACATCGCATGGTCTCCTACGGCAAATGTGATTGCTTTGGTCGATGCTCATGGAAGTTTTAAACGTTGGCGAGATCCTGTACCTTCGCATCTCCCGAGCCCCTTCAAGGCCCCAACAGAGCATAAGAAGGCCTCTGCGCCAACAGCAAAGGAAAAGGACCTAGAGGAGGAACTATTTGGTGGGGACGACTTCGACATGGCGGATTTCGAGAAAGAAGAGGAGGAGGAAGAGCTCGAGGAGAAAACTTGGGAAAGCTCTGGTGCAGCTAGGCAAATGGGTAAGATGCCCCAGTTTACTCTGAGAGACTCAACTGAAAGATGAATGCCAGTTGCTGTTGTACCTGCGCAACCGCCCTTCCAGCCAGGATCAACCCCGATGAAGGATGGGAAGTGTTATCTGGGTATGTCCGTTTGCCTAGGTATTATATATTATCTCAAGCATGCGCAGCCTGGAATCTACTGGGGTTCGTACAGGCTATCGATCAAGGCTCCTATCACTATGTGACAGTAGAGTTCTATGACAAGAGCATGAGGACCGGAGATCGGTTCCAGGACTACAGCCACTTCACCATGGCTTCCCTAGGTCTGTACCTTCTCTTTTCCCATCACACAGACCACTAACATGTTCTAGGTGAGAGAGGTGCCTTGTTTACCTGTCCAGCGGATGGAGGAAACCCCAGCATCATCGAATACCGACCCTATCGACAAGCTTCTTGGGCACCCGACACTCGATGGAAACATGAGCTTCCTGAAGGTGAAAATGCCATAGCGGTCGCTGCTGGTGGTAGCAGGCTTGATAAAAATGACGAAGAGGAAGGAGGTGTCGATGATGCCGCCGGTTGCGGGCAAGTGGTTGTGGCAACCACCAAAGGCTATATTCGCTTCTTCTCTGGAAGTGGCATCCAGGAGTTTATCTGGTCGGTGGGCGCGGATGTGGTTGCCGTGGCAGCAGGAGAGGAATGGACCTTCATCGTCTACCGTGAAGGAGGCGTCAGTTTGGATGGTAAACTTTTTTCATTCCATGCTCCACGCTTGATTGTAACCATTGTCGCAGGATGTCAGAACTTGCGATATACCCTTATTGCCTTCGACACGTTTGAGCCGATACAAGAGGGTCGCCTGCCCCTCACGAAGAAAGTCACACTGAAGTGGATGGGAATAACAGAAGAAGGGGTACGGACTCCCGGTTCATTTTCATCTCTTGCTCATTCTCTCCAGGCGCCCGTGATCTATGATTCCACGGGAGTTCTTCACGTCTTACAGCATGTCCGAAGACCTGGCAAGGGCATGTGGGCGCCTGCACTAGACACAAACACCATGGAGCGACGTGCTGGGAAACAGGAGTCGTATTGGCCTGTTGGAGTAACGGCTACTGATTTCCACTGCGTGATCCTGAAGGTAACCCAAAACACCTCTAGACCGTTTTGCAGCATCTGACAATGCTGAAGGGCTTAGAAGAGTACCCATCGCCGAACAAGCCTCCAGTTATCGAGAACAAGCTTGCGATGCCCCTCTTACGCATGGACAAAAACGAGAAAGGCGAGCCTGGCGACGGCTTGTTCGAGGAGAAGTGGGTAAGGCGAGTTCGACAGTTTCACGTTATTGACTCGTCGTCAGGGTTATTCGTGAGCGTGAGGCTATCAGCACTCTTCGTGATGCATTGGGCAACGACGAAGAAGACGATGAAGACATCCCCGCAAGAGAACTAGAGATGGACAAGGCTCTTGTCTGGCTCATTGGCAAGGCATGCATGACGAACAAAGTCCAGCGAGCCTTCGATCTTTGCAGAATGTTGCAGAGGCCAGCATCCCTCAGGACGGCACTTCAACCTGCTCAGCGCTATCACCACAAAGGGCTGGAGCAAAGAATACTTACGTTGATCGAAGACTTGGAGGAACGAGACCAACTCGACGAGCATCGCCGGAAGAGGCAGAAATGGGGCATCAACCGTGCGCCTTTGGAAGCTGCCATCCGCCCAAAAGATAGCTGGCTTTCCAGCGGGTCCGAGAGTTTTCCTGTACCAGCTCGCGAACGTTCATTCCTTGCTCCAGCCATTCCGACGGTGCCCCGTAAGGCACAACCCATGCCTTCGTTCGACTCAGGGCTGCTGTCCCAAAGCACTGTCCCTCCTATCTCGCGAGACGCTTCCTTTGTTCCAGAAACGCAAACCATGGCCGATGATCCGATGGATTTAGAATGGCCACCCTCCCCACCTTCAAACGGCAAGAGGAAGCGGGATGATGAGAGTTTGACTGAGGAAGTCGATCCTGCTGTCAATGTCGCACCACCAATAAAACGCAAGGCGTCAGAAGAGTCTTCAGCTGGGAAGCCAGCTCCACTCAAATGTATGCCACACCGGCACGTGGACTTTGTAACTAGCTGATTGCGCCATCATTTAGCCATGAATCCATTTGCGCGCAAGTCATCTGCACCCTCAAATCCGTTCTCAAGAACCAAAGCCCAGAGCATGAATGAACCCAATGCGGACAATGGGAGAGATGTTGGACGTGTGTATTCGAACTTATGTCCGATAGCTTCGTCTGATTGGCTCTACCAGTGTTGCCGAAATCGGGAGCTAGCGCGAAGAGGAAGGAATCTCAGACCCGCCAGTCAACCTTATTCGGCTTGCCACCTGCGGCTGTACCCGAGGCTAAACGGGGACGTGGGAGACCCCCGAAGGAGGCCACCAAAACTGGGGAGGCCCAGAAGACCCTGGATCCGCTGGCCAGAGATGATACGCTCAGTATGGTTGAATCACAAGGTGAAGATGCCGTTGTGGCTGCGGACGGAATGCGTCGAACCGGTACACCGCTTGCCGCCGAAACACTGAGCGCCAGGGAAGACGCAGGCGGTATAGATGATGATGATATTGGTACCACAAAGTCGAAAACAGTATATCCGTTCTCACAAGCCTCATGTTGTTTTGTTGATTGCCGGATATCACCAGGCAAAACCGGACAGCACGACGTCTTCGGATAAGGAAAATCACGAGGACGATATCGTGCTCGAGAAAACATCAGAGGAGTCTATTGCTGCTGGGAATGGTAAAGCTAAGCTTGCGGCGTTCCGAATGAACGTCACGGTGTCATAGCGTCCATTAATGTGTGATCTACAAGTGTATACATATGGCCATTTGGGACCCAATGTATGTCTATTTGAAGTCAGCGGAATTACCCTCAGAAAGGACAGAAACGCTCACCTGAAACGTGTGCTCATTTCCTTGAGCTCACACGTTGGCCTCCCAGCTGACACCGCATCCGCAACCACTGCCCTTCGCTTGTGGGTTCTCCATTATGCGAAAAGAGCTCCCGATCAGCTCTGTGGCATAATCGACGGTGGCACCTTTCAGGAGACCCAGTGAAACTGCGTCTATGATCACCTTGGACGGTTGGGTGTCTGCTCTTGTAAATACGCTGCCGCCTTATTAGTCCTTTCTTCATGGATGACCACGCCTAATGCTTACAAATCGTCTGGCTCATATTCCGATGTAACCTCCATCGTGTACTGGTATCCATGGCATCCCCCAGATTCCACACCGACCCTCAATGCAATTTCCGAATTATTGGCCTTCTCCGCGACGCGCCTCAATTGCTGCTCGATATTTCAGTTAAACGGGTTGTGATCTGGACCAAGCGACTCACCTCAGCTGCTCGTTCGGTGATGATCAATCTTGCTTCATTGAACACGTTCGGGTCTACTTCAAGTTCCAGTGCCTCTAGCTGTTTTGGAGTAGGTGCATAAAGAAGTATTGCTTGGTCTGCTGAAGTGATAGTGGGGAGCGGAGGAGCAGAGGCGAACGACCTGCGGTGAGTGGTCGAGGGTGCAGACAAAACGGTGGGGTTTATAAGCCTTCGCCCTGGCCTCACAGAGACCACACGACATGATCCAGCGAGCACGCTGCGCCGGACAGCGAGGGACACAATCGCAGACATGACAATAGCGAGGACAGGAGAATAAGCAGCGAGCTCGTGCGGAGAGGCGCAATGAACGGTCGGAGAAGCTGGGGAAGCCTTCACAGCCTTACGTGAACCCTGAGTTCGCTATATGATCGGGACTGATCGAGAAGCATATACCCAGGGATTTACTCCCGCTTGCACCGCCACGTCCCACATTGTTGTTCTTGGCTGTCGAAGTTACACCTTCCTTATTTTCGATCATAAAGGTGGCTTGCTCGAATAAATCTGAAAGCCATGTCAGTATCTGCTTGACCGGGGTTCCCTTACGTCTTCTGACTATTGTTTACGTCCTCTGCACGCTAGGGTGTACGTAATGACAGCCGCGGGGAAGGCACTCCGCAGAATTGTCGGAGACTACGGTGAACATCGCAGTTTATGCGCCGAACGCTGGCATCGTGTCTTTATGCGCACTATGCAATTATAGGGGTACCCTCATTCTCGCAATGCATCGCACGTTTCATGCGATTACTTGGGACGTTTCAGCGGTAAAAAGGAGCGTTGATCTGGTTTCCGGAAGACCAGGGTTCTGGAACGAACGATCAATTGTGGCGCCAAATATCCTCCTTTCCATTGATGGAGGTTAGACACTGTGTTGGATTTGTCCGCATGTCCCGTTGAAGAGGTGCGCTTCTTTTGAATGAGAATCCACTTCTGATCTTCTTCCCTCTACCAGAAATGCGGCATCCGGTCGGTGAACGAATTCACAAAGGCAACGTTTAACATGTTGGCGAGGCTTGCTTCCCAACATTCAACCGTATGCAGAACACGATCAATGTGAAATTCGCAAATGTGGAGGCACTTCCCCCATTCGAGGGCAGCATGTCAATGCATGCCTCTACTCCAGGACGTGCTGGACTATTCCGTATTATTTATTTTAAGAGTGTGATCGTTCTGGACACCGTCTTAGCGTAAATAGAAGAAATAGTTGTCGTTGACCCGATAGCCCTAAGCGCAGATCATTTTGCAGATCTCCGCTGCCAACCCTGCGGTGAGCTGACAGATCGCCGTATGTATTCCAGCCCCATGTGTTCATTGTATGACATGGCAATCGTACGGCGGGAAATCATGAACACAATTATTCTTCCGTCCATATGCAAAGAATGTTATTACTATCTGTTTTTTCTTCAGAATACAAGGGCTCAGAGACAAAAGGTGTTTCGAGTAGAATAGCAGCCGATCGTCCAGTCTTCTCAGAAACACCCTTTGGAGGATCTTCCGGTAAAAGCGGACAGTCATAATTTAGCTGATATATGGCTTCTTCACACGTATAGGGGAAAAAAAACCAAAAAACATGTGCGTTCTCGCTAATCCTAACCGATAATATTAATGGGCGATCATGAGCCCTTAAACCTCCGCGGAGCCGCCGTGGCCGGCTGTTGGTACATCATATCGTCTTTTGTGCTTCATGTTTCGTATTGATGCCAATGTAGTCATGCGCAATTGGTGTGCCGGCCGCCGACGGGAATTACTACGGAACGACAGAGGACTAGAAGCAAGCTGCATTAATCCACTAGCGATTCCGACAGATGGGTCACGCGTAGAACGGCACTGCAGCGGCAGTCGTTACGCTACGGAGCCAGTCCGGACTCAAGGTGAGCAGCAAAGGCAAGTGTCGTCATTGTCTGTCCGCCTGTCTGTCTCCGGCTGAACATTACAAGGTTCCGGGATATTCGTTCCCGCGGGGAGATGCACTTGATTTGGATTCTGGTCGGATATGGGCATCCGGAGCATGCATGCGTGAAACATGATTTGAATGTGCTGATGGAGGTTGCTGGGTGCGTGGCGGCTGACTGGACGATAGTGTGTTAGTGAAGAGGAGTTGTGGTGTGAAATACTGGGGGGAGAAGTGAGGGTACGGCATTATGGGATATTGGAATGTATTGTGTGGACTGGTGCAGAAGACGGTGGTTTGATGTGAATATACGGGATCCAGGAACGTTCCAATGGAAGGTGAGGGAGGGAAGGAGTGACCGTGTTTATTTTTCTTTCTTTTTCTTGGAATGAGGCAACACCTCCAAAGTGTTAAGGGTATCTGTCTGTTGTGTGGCGGGTTCAGTACAAGTGGCCTGATAAAGAAGCAACATTTTGTGAGACACAGCACCTCGACTCTCTGCCGGCGCTAAAATAGCTTCTCACATCTCAGAACCAATCAGAACACGCCTTTAACCCCCGATTGCTCCCGTATCCATAAGGTCACTCCCTCCGTGTGTTCCGATCTGCTTTTGCCTGCTTTTTCTTTCTCTCGTTCTTCTTCTTCACGGAACAGAGGCACAGTCCATCGAATTGTGGTCTATCATCCGTAATGATTGAGTAACGCAGATCTGATTGACAGAGAAAGAAGCATCTTCGGCAGCAATTGAACGCGCGCAATGGCCGCTCATCCCGCCGGTACATCCACGTGGCAATTTTCACCTGCACAAATCTCAAAATCTTTCACAGCTCTTACGAATCGCTATCATTACTGTGCTATTTCCTTTCTTAACTCCACACTGCGCTTCTCGACTGTCAGTTGCTTCTCGTCAGCGCCTGCTGCTTCTGACTAGTCTTGGGTCCACAATTGGGTCCACCCATCACCGGCTCCGGAGTTTCGCAACTCTATCTTTTATCTTCCCTTGTCCCATCGCATCCATCTCGATCTTCTAGCCTCAATTACGATACCAAATTGCGTACAAACTGCTACGGCCCGGTGCAGCACATTCCTACCTTGCACACCTTCGTATTCCCAACCCACCTACTGCCCATTTGTCCGTCCCCTTTACCTGACCTGCCAAATTTTCACACATGGCAAATCCACGACAGCGTCGCAAGGCGCGTTCGTCATCCCATCGCACAGTCAAGACCTCAAACGCAAAGAAGCTTCGGAAACACCCAGGTGTGTGGGATTTCCTCGTCATCCTTCTATCGTCTCTTTCTACGCAAGCCTCCGCGTCCAGTCCTGCCTGCGCAAAACCCATTTGCCTCAATGGATCCATCATTTGTGTTCCCGATCCGCCGAACGTATTCTGATATGCTTTGATGACATCTAGCGATCAAAGGGCCCGAAGTGCTGAAAAAGGCATGGGACGTGCACAAAACCGTTCGGCAAAAGTGCGTTCAAATCTGCGTCTTCTGTCTGTGTCTGTGTAGGCTGTGCGCTGACCAGGATCGCATGATTCGCCACATCCAGCTATGCAGCGCTCGGTCTAGCCCCTACGCTCTCGTCCCACCAGTCAGGAGGGACGGAACACGCCGGAGCATCGCTTGCACCTAAACTGCCTTTGCCCGATGAAATAGAGGGGATCAACGTCATCCATGATGGAAATGCCGATATGTCTGCATGGAACTCGCCGATCCCTACAGGGTCGTCGGCCACCGAGAACCAGAACCCCAACTCGAACCCACCACCTAAACCCCTGCGCAAGGGCTTCGGTAGGATCGTACGAGACGAGAATGGGAATGTTGTCGATGTGATCTTGGCTGAGGAGGAAGAAGCAGCGGGAGCAGAGGCTGAGCTGAACATGGACATGGATCTGGATGCAGGTGCGGTGAGTCAGAAGAGGAAGGGTGGAAGGAGAAAGGGTGGGGAAGAGACACCTTGGGGCGCGCCGATGGAGGACTGGGCGGTCACTGACCGTGCGGGGCTGGAGAAACCAAAGCAGACTGCAGTAACGGACGGTACGCAGTGCCCGCTTCGCCCCCCCCCCCCCCC